GCGGGAGGGATGGCCCGACTGCCCGGGGCATTTAGTGTCCGGTCCTGTCACGTGCTCGAACGGGCACCCAGGGCGGGGTGGGAGCAGGCACGACGACGTGGGCCTCAATGACCCCGAAAGACCACACACGCCAGCAGCCCCGCCTGGGCAACTGCCCACAGGCCACGCAATCATCTCCTCAAAGCACGACATGCTCCACCACGCTGACCACCGCGTATTTGCAGTCAGTGGACACGGACACGCCCTCAGAGCCGCGGTGGAGGATGGGTCGGGGGCTGGGTCAGGGGGACCAGTCAGGGGCCAGAGTCGGGGGGACAGGTCAGGGGAACGGGTCAGGGGGATTGGCCGTCCACACCCTGGCACTAGGCTTGGCTGCAAGGGAGGGCGAGAGGCCGCGTTGACAGCCGGGGAGGAGCTCAGGGGACGACGTGGTGTGAAGCGGTCAGACAAACGCTGGCCATCGCCCCGTGTACGAGTGAAACAAGGAAGCGGAGCAGGGCGCGGCTAGAGTGTCTTGTGCTCCTCAGATAAACATTTTGGGGGGGCAGTGAGCCATGTCAAATCCCAACAAGAGGTGTGAGGGGGGCCTCCTGGTGGCGCAGGGGTTAAGTCTCAGCCCTGTGAAGCTGTCCGCAGCCTCTGCAGCCCGAGTTCCATCCCCGGCCAGGGAGCTACCCACACGGCGCAGCAGACCCCTCCCGTCTCCCTGCTGCTCCCCTCGGCGGTGAGTTTCAGTGGGTCTGTCTGTTCTGCTCCCCACTCTGTCTCTGGGGAATCCTCCCACCCCGCCCCCCGCACCTCTGGCCTGCACCCCAGCTCTTGTATGCATAAATAAATCAATCTTAAAAAAACAAACCAAAACACGAAGTGTGACGGGATCCTCAGCTGTGGGCCAGGCTCCGAGGGCGCTGAGGGCAGGAGGCGGTCACGGGGCTTCATGGGACGGGACCGGCCGAGGCCAGGCGGCTGCGGGCGCAGGAACGAGGGGCCTTTCCGCATGGCAGCCGCTGAATGTGTGCATGAGCCAGAATGGGGGAGCGGGAGGCAGACAGGACGACGGAGAAGGTCCCCAGGGTGGAGGAGGCTGGTCTCAAGAGCGCGCACTCCAGCCCGCAGCGGAGGCACCCCCAGCGCCCAGTGCTCGCGGCACCCGCCCAGGTGGGGGTCAGCAGGGCCCGCCGTGGTCCCCAAGGGGAAGCCCTGCCCAGCAGCACATTCCCAGGCCACACCTGGACCTGCTGATTCAGGGTGTGGGACACCAGGCCCAGCACCCCACGTCTGCATGACCCCTGGTGATTGCGACACCCACTCCTGTTTGGGAACTGGGACGAGTGGCCACGTTCCCCGCTGGCCGCCCCGTCTAACCGCTCGGGGGTTTGTCTTGCTGCCGTCTGAGCCCCCGGGATGGTGGCTCCCCCACTGGGCCTGACCCTGGGGCTCTGCCCTTGCCTGAGGCGGGAAACAGGAGGGGGGGGGGAGGAGCCGACAGCGGCATGGAGAGGCGCTGATTTCGGTGGGTTCCGCGTTTCCTGCCCTTCCTTTGGGGTGGGGGAGGAGCTCTGCAGAATCCAGGCCCCTGACCGAGAGCTGGTCACAGGCTGCTGAGACGGCAAGCCCTGAGCGTGGGGAGCCGGCGATGCTGCCACAGAAGTGGGGAACGGGCGGTGGGGGGGCATGTGAGGGCCCCTCCAGGCACCAGAGGAGCAGTGCAGGTGCGGGGCCCCAAGGTCAGGCCGAGGGGCGCTGCACTGCAGGGGCGCTGGGTGTCCTCGCCCACCCTCACCACCCCAAGGAGCCCCACCCTCGTTACCCCACCCCATCTCCACCACCTGGTCCCCAGATCCCAGATGCCTGAATTCGGTTCTTGCCTGGAAGTCTGCTTCTCCCCCCTGGACTCTCCCATGACCCCTACTCTTTTCTTTTTTTTTTGCATATAAGAGCTGGGGTGCAGGCCAGAGGGGCGGGGGATGAGAGGGTTCACCAGAGACAGAGTGGGGAGCAGAACAGGCGGATCCACTGAAACACACTGCTGAGGGGAGCAGCGGGGAGACCGGAGAGGTCTGCTGCGCCGTGTGGGTAGCTCCCTGGCCAGGGAGCACGTCATATTGAAACACTGTCTGGGGTTACACCCTTATTCTGCTGTGTGGCTGCATTCACCACCACAGGACACGCAGTTATCATCTCAAGGTTTATTTCTGTGTTATTCATTCCTTTGTTTCTTTATAGCCCTTGAGTAAAATTACATGGTGTGTTCCTTGCGGTGTCTGACTCATTTCACTGAGCGCCGCCCCTCTCCGCTCATCCAGGTGGTCACAAACAGCAGGATTTCATCTTTACTTTCTAACTTGTAAAAAGTGGGGATTTTAATTTGAAGTCAGAAAATATAATTTCAAAAATCACAAGAAACTCAAAAAGTGTTACATCAAATATAGCCGCGTATTTGCAGCAGGGCCTCACTCCCTGAGCTTTCGCCTCGAGTCACGCATGTGGTCCAGCTCTCCTGGGCCTTCCGCTCCCCTCGCATCGTGGGAGACCAGATGGAGGACGGGGTGGCCCTCACCTCCTCCATGGAGGGATTGGGGTACTGCTCTGAAGAACAGGTCAGCTCTAGATTTCAAGCCCCTGATCATGGCAGCGCCTCTTTTTCATGCCTGAGTAGTATTCCAGCCGACACAGAGGCCACATCTCCGCCTGCACCTGCCAGCGGGCGCTGAGGTGGCTTCTGTGAACAGTGATGCAATAAACCTGGGGGTGCAGGTATCTCTTCAAGCCAGAGTTTTTGTATTTGGGGTGGATACCCAGAAGTGGGGCAACTGGACCCTACAGAATTTGTTTCCTCCCCTCTGCTTTCTGTACCCATGGTGCCAGCCAGTGTGCCCCGCAGCTCGCGGCTCCCTCGTCCAGTGCTCGCTGAACTTCAGGGGCCAGTGGCCTCAGGGCCCCTGGAGCGTCTCCCTTCAGCCGGGTGAGCGCCGCCTCCTGTGCTGCTGGTCACTGTGCGTCTTCTCCAGGGAAGTGTCTCTTCAGATCTTCGGTGTGGCTGCGTTACCACACCTGCCACCCATCTAGTGACTGTGGGCTCCCAGCCAGCCCCCTGCCCCTCTGGCACCACCCCTTAAGTGGCTGCCCAGGACAGAGTCGGCTCAAATCTTCCATCTAGTCTCTTCCCCCAGCTCTCCCTGCTTCACGCCTACCTGGCTGGCCTGAGGACAGGCCCCCACCTGCCGTCCCCCTCCACCCTGCCTGGAGGCCCGCCGTGTCAGCTGCCAGGCCGCCCACCCCGCCACAGAGGGCCGGAGGCTGGAGGCAGAGGGGCCAGACCGCACGCCTGTCAGGTGGCTGGTCACGGCACAGGGCTCCCGGCCCGTGGTCTGTGTGGACCCGCTCGCTTCCGGCCTGCTGTGCTGAAGAGGCCGGTCATGGTGTCAGCCAACCGGCCACTGGTCTGTTTCCCTGATGACCCGGAAGATGAAGTTCCTGACCAGAAAGGAAGATGGCTTGGCCGTCGGGACGATGAGGTGCGTCTGAGACGCTCAGGCTGCTGGCGGGCACTGCAGGTGGGCAGCTGAGCACGACCACTTCCAAGAGCCTGGCAGGATCCTCTCCTGCCACCTTGGGCGTCCCCGATGCTCAGTCCCCAGCCTGCCCTCTGGTCCTCGCCAGCACCAGGACATTTTCAGAAGGGCCCAAGCCCCGCCCAGCCAGCCCTAAGTCCAGACACGCAGCAGAGGTGGGGACAGCCGCAGCCACAGAGCCAGCCTGGATCCTACCTTGTCATTAAAGGTTTTGGATGAAAAATAATAAAAACCATCAGCCCTTGTAAACCAAGACCTGAAAATCAGGTCCTAGAGCTCGGGACACAGGGCACTGGCGTGGCTGGGCACCCACACGGGCCCTGCCCCAGGGGCCCCCTGCTGCCCAGTCACATAGCTCCACCGGCACCCACGGCCACGCCCACCCGCGGGCCCCCCAGGACGGTGCAGGCCCTGCCTGGAGACCACGGGGCTGGGACACTGGAGCGAGGAAGAGGCCCCGCGCCCTGAGGGGGCCGTCTCCAAGCTACCTGCTCCCAAGCGTGCCCCTCTCGGTGTGCAGGTCTGCCTGGCCAGCGGGAGCGCTCTGGGGTCCAGAGCAGGACTGACTGGAAGGGCCTGTGCCCAGGACGCTTCCCATGGCGCCCATGGCGGGGCGAGTTGGTGCCAGGGGTCGGGCCAGGCCTGACCTGACTTTGCCACCAGCCAGGCTGGGCCTTTCATGCCCACGTGGAGCCCCAGCACAGACTGTGCTCACCCCCACCTCGGGCTGGGGGTGGGGCGCCCACTCGCAGGGCCCGGAGCTCTGCATTTCCTCCCAGATGCAGGCTGGTTGCCTGCAGGTGCGCCAGGGGGCCCTTCTGGGGGGGGGGGAACAGGAGGAGGCCAGTGCGCCCCCTTCTTAACATCAAGAAAAGACACAGCAGGACACAAAACTCACTTTATTGCACCGAGACCCTGGGGTACCTGGGCTGCTGCCCGGAGAGGCGGCGCTGGGCTGGGGGCCAGCTGCGCGCCCCAGCGAGCACCGGGAACCTGGGCAGAGGCAGGCAGCCTCCATGGACCCGCCCCGACCCCCACACGGACCCCCACGCGGAGCTCGTCTGGCCCTGACCCTGACCGAGCCACCCCCTCGGGCTGACGCGGCCTCGGGGCAGCGAGGGGCTGCGCAGGTCAGGCGCCGCCAGAGCGTCTCACAGGAAGAGCGGCGGGGGGCAGGGGCAGGAGGCGCCGGGGAGCAGACGGCGTCTCTCTAACTGCACTAGGGAGAGACAGGGCCGGGCAAACTGCTGAGCGGGGTCCAGCAATGTCAAGACCTGGGGCGACAGCCTGACGACGCAGCGCCTCCCGCGGAGGCGACGACGGAGCCCGATGCTGGGGTCCCGGGCCTTGAGAGGCGCGGCCGACACCGGCAGCCGGACCCCGGAGCACGGGCCAGGGCCGTGAGCACACGAGCGGCCCCCTCGCCTCCCGCCCGCCCAGCAGCAGCGCCGGTGCCGCCGCTCTCCGGCTCCAAAGGGCGAAATAGAAACAGGAGGAAAAACCAAAGGAACCGCGCGTGTGCGACATCACGCGTCTCCCCACGCCGAAGACGCGGCGCCCAGGCCGGTGCAGGCAGCGGGGCGGCGGCCAGGCTCGGTGGGTCGAGGGTGAGAAGCAGAGCCAGCGGCCGAGGCCCCGGGAGAGGACGCGGCGCGGCCAGGAAGGACCAGGAAGGACCGGCCACAGGGGAGCGGCTCTGGGCCTCCCACCCGGGCTCACGTGTCTTCCTTCTGGAATCACCACCTCCGTGAGGATTCCCGTCTTTGTCAAATCACAAGTTCGCAGGCACAGCTTGAGCAAGACAGAAAAGGGACCTTCTTGAGTCGCACAATCTAAATTCAAAGCACTCACAAAACTGAGGCCACAAAGCCAGTATTTTGCATGTCGGGGAAAGGAAGCCGCAGGCCAGGTCCAGAGTCAGCTTGAGGCGGGTTAGTCACAGGAAAGACGGCGTCCCCCGGACCAACGTGCAGGGCCCATGCGCTCGTAGGCGCTGGGAAGGTCCAGCAGAGCCGCTCTCGGCGTGGGCGGGTGCTTCTGCGAGGGACAGAAGCACCAGCAGGGCACCCCGATTCCAGAAAAGGGGAGGAGGCAGTGTGGGCCCAGCTGGGGCACTTGCTGCCTGAGGATGGACAGGTGAGGTGCAGACAGCGCGGCCCAGGACCAGGAGGGAGGAAGAGCCGGCCAGGCACAGGCGACGAGTGCCTTGTCAGGAAGAGCAACCGACCACACACTTGCCACCCTGAGGCGCGCGAGGACGCGCTGCGGCTGACCGCTGTCCCGGACCATGTGCTGCTGTCCGGGCTCAGAGGAGAGCCAGCCCCATCCCATGGGGCGCCGCCGCCGGCTGCAACCACCAAGCCACGCCAGAATCCGGGCCTGGCGGCGGCAGGGCCAAAAAACCCACTCGCGTCCCCGCAGTCCAGACGACATTTCCTGGGAAGGGCCGCCGCGTGTCCGGGAGGCTGTGGGGCCAACGACGCTGTTACTGACCGAAGTGACATCCGAGACGCCCCCCCTGGGGAACAGCAGCCAGGCCAGCCACACTCAGTCCCGCGGGGAGGGCGCCCCACCGTCCACACACCCCCCCCAACCCCAAACTGACCGATCTCGACAGCAGTGACCTCAGCGGCGGTAGCTGAGGCTGGTAACCTTTGCCGGGTGAGTCACAGACCAGAAGTTCCGTCTACTCTGAAGTTTCTGGAAGGCGTTGAAGTTTCTTTTCTTTTCTCTCTTGAACTTTTTCATTTTCTTTTCCTGCATCGAGATCACACCCGGACACGGCTGTCACGGCACCACAGGCTGCAGCAGCCCTGCTGTTTCCACTCGGCTGGCGAGGGCGGAGGCCAGGCAGGGGCCAGCGGATGAAGAGGACCAGCGCCCCCATCCCGGTGCCTGGAGCCAGGCCTGCCCGTGCGCCCTCTGTGACAAGCCCGGGGCCTGACAGGGTCAGTCCTCACGCCCCTCCTGCCGGCCGCACACGTACCTTCCCCCGATCAAACTCTACATCCCAGTCATCGATGACCGCGGCGGCGCGGGCCAGCCTGCTGTCCTGGACGGCGTCCTGACTGACCGCCGAGGGCCCGCCATCCCACGTCAGCACTGTGAACAGAGGTGCGTGTCAGCGCCGGGGGCCACGCCCAGGGGCTTTGCTCCCAGGGCGAAGTCCACGCTAGACCCACCGGCCCCGACGACCCCGTTCTCGCGCCAGCTCTTGGTGATGACAGACTTGCAGGGAGGGGAGGGTCAGATTTGGGTGCGCAGGAGACGCCCCAACGCGCCTGTTACTTAAGCAAACGCTGCAATCCTGCATCACCCAACCCGTGAGGCTCAGTTCTTCTGAGCCCCGCCTCCCCGGGCAAGAGCCTGTGTCCTCTCCCCGAGCCCAGTTATAAAGGCAGAGCTCTGAACGAGAACTGACGGCTCGCGGGCTAGCCAATTTCCCGCCCACTCCCTCCCTGACCAGGCCTGGCCCAGCGCACCCCAGGAAAAGGCTGTTCTGCCCGTCCCCGTTCCAGGCACTAGGACCCTACCCTCCAGCCAAGGCAGCTGGGGGTCAGAGGTCACAATGCTCACATCCCTCTCCCCTCAGTGCCCTGTCTCCAGGACCCGCTAGACACCTCGCCCCTCCAGGACAAGCCCAAGAGGAGGCAGCCCCGTCCCCAAGCCTGTACCTTTTCCCCCGAAAGCTGTGTCAGACGAATGTCGGAGCAGCTCCTGGACCACGTCGGGCTCCTGCTCTCTGTCCCGGGGGGCGCCCCGCCCCAGCCCTGTGGTCAGACACACGTGAGACAGGCAGGAAATGGACATGCCACCTTGTGTTGGAAACAGAAGCCCAGGACTCAGGGTGACAGTGCTCTAAGGGACGCTCAGGGCAGGCACCTGCTGCCCCACGGGAGTGGCTGACGCCCGTGCTGGCTCAGCACAAGAGGGCACTGCCCAAGCCAGCGAGCTCTGGAAATAGGGGAAAAACCCAAACACCAAATACAAGTCATACCAGCACGCACCCTGGTATGCCCCCAGAAGGCTGTCCAGGAGGCGGCCCACCGCCCACCTCTGGACTGCACCAGCACGGACCTGCCCTCGCTGGGGCCTGGATAGGCCTGAATGGGCTCCAGCTGCCCCTCCAGCCACCCCCCACTGCACCACCTGCTCTGGCATCGCTCGCCTGGCTTCCCACAGGTCAATGACCTTGGACCTACAGGCTCAGGGCCCAGAACAGAGTCACAGTGGCCCCAGCTCGCTGGGCCCTGGTGGCCCTCCTGCAAGTCTCCCTGTAGCCCTGGGCCGTGCCAGTCTCCCACTTAGCTGACAGCAGAGGAGCGGGGGGCCGGGAGGTTCCACAGTCCCAGCCCTGGCCCTCTGCACCCGACGCTGTGGCGCTGGGCTGTGACGGGCAGCACCCCAGCCCAGGCAAGCCCTAAGCCAGCGGCCCCGATCGCCCCTGCAACACTCGGCACCCGGAGGGGCTGCTCCTCACTGGCCGGCAGAGGTGCCGCACAAGGCGATGGGCAAACTCCCATGCATGTTCATCAGTTCAGTTTGGGGTGGGGACGTTGAGAAACGCAAACCTTTGGGGCCTATATGCCTCCCAAATACTAATGTGACCCCATGCCCATGAGGTAGTGTCGACCCCAAGGACCCCCTGCTTGGCCCCTCCCAAAAAGCTGACGACACTGCCCATGATGGCCCACAGACCACCAGGAGAGCCTGGCACAGGAGCCAGCTGATGGGAGGTGGAGCCTCCGCCCAGGCATATGGGCCTGAGCTGGCCCGTGCACCAGAGGGCAGCTCCTGAGAGCCGTGCCGGGGGGAAGCCCACAGGGCCGCAGCAGGGGCCACCCACCCACCACGCACACCTGTGTGGCCCACTGGACGCCAGCCGTTCACCGCGGGAGCAGCGCCATGGGGCTCCAGGACACCCCAGCCTCGGGGCCGCGCATCCTGACAGCCTTCTGGGGGTTCCTCTGCTTCTGCTTCTTGCTGTGACTCTGCCTTTCTTTTTTTCTTTTTCTTCTTCCTCGGCGGTGGCGTGACAGTCTCTGGCCGGACGGCGTCTGAGGGAGAGCAGCTCCTGGGGAGTCAGGACAGTCGGTTGGCACAAAACAAGGGCAAAAACGTGGGCTTGGACAAGATACCCCAAACCTCAACTGCTTCTCCCACTGAGCAGAAAGCCCCTCGGCTGTGGGGCCCGCATAGCAGTGGGTGCCACTGGATGTGCTCCCTGCCCCATGGACGCCTGGCAGACGGCAGCCAGGACAGTACAAGCTGCACCCCGCCCAGCCTAGGCCCCCGCGAATTGGGCGGGGTGATGGGGAGCCGAGTGCCGGGGCCAGGAGACAGCCCTGCACCCCACTGGTGTCCGGGCCTGGGCAGCATACTGTACGCCCAGACGCCCCGGCCCTTGGCGTGGCCCGTGCTGGCTCTGCCATGGGGTGGGTGGTGCGGTCTCGCCCCCTGCCCACCTGCGCTGGGGAGGGCCCGGGTGCAGGCAGCCTTGGAGGCCCTCTCCGTCCTTCCGCTGCCTCTCGCCGCGTGCGGGGGGGTCGTCCCTCAGGCATCCCACTCGCCGGCCGTTCACCAGGGGCTGGCCGTTCACCGGCTGCTGTCCACCCTCATCCTCCGGTCTGTCCGCCGGCAGCTCTGCCCGGCCGTCCTTCCCACACCCGGGGCTCCCAGGGGTGCTGCGCTCCAGCCCTCCGTGCGGCGGGGGGGCACCCGCATCCTCTGTGCGTTTCCTCTTCTTCCTTCTCCTCTTCCCAGCAGGGGCTGTGGCTGCTTCCTGCGGCTCCTGGCCCGGCCCCGGGGCCTCCCCCGAGTGGCTCTTCTTCCTCTTCTTACACAGGCTCTGGGGGTGCTGGCGGGCCTCTTGCAGCTGGTGTGGAGGGGGCCTGAAGCCCCCGTTTACCTGAGGCAGGGGAGCAGAGGCGGAGCGGCAGCTCTGTGGGTCTGACATCTCTAGGGGCTGGGGGCCGGTGGGCAGTGACACGGAGCGGGGGCCGAGGGGGGGCTTCGGATGGCTGAAGGGTGTGGGAGCAGGTGTAACAGGCCTGCAAGAGAGTCGGGCGGTGAGACAGGCTGCGGAGAGGCAGGCTGCGTGGCCCTGCCCGCCCAGCCGGCCCCGCCACGGCTGAGAGCCTCGGCAGCCTTGCGTCCCGGGGCACGCTGAGAATGGCAAAGCCCCGCTCCCCAGAGAGCAAGCCGGAGAGGACGCGAGGCCTGGCTCCTGTCACCACGCGGCTCAAGGAATGCTCGCAAACTGACGGTTTGGATTTTCAACTAGGTGTGTGAGGAAAGGAAAGCCCCTCCCTCGTAAAGGCAAGAAAAGTGTTCTGTGAGGACTCGTTCCAACCCTGAGTCCCGTGTCAAGGGCAGGAAGTGAGCCCACAGGGAAGGCCAGGGCAGGCCTGTCTCCTGCTGTTTCTCCCCACGAAAAGCGGACCTCACAGCCAAGCCCCACACAAGGCCGAAGGAGGAAAGGCTTGAGAGTCAGCCGGGCCGGCTCTTGCTGGCGCCACCTGGGTGAGGCCTTGCAAAGTCCCCCCCATAGCTTCCGCACACCCAGGTAAGTGGTACGCCTGCCTCACAGGCTGAATTGAATGCGACTGTTATAAAGTACAGATCGACCACATCACACACCCTAAGTGTCCCCTGGGACTGGAAGACAAGGAGCTGCCAAAGCCGCAGCAGCAGACGCCCACTGACGCCGCACACACTGCCTCGCGCAAACCGTGCTACCACAGGGCCGGCGAGCAGTGGTGAGAGGCGGCTGGGGGGCTGGGGACGGAGGGTCTGAGTACTACAGCGAGGCTGCTGCACAGCTGGAACACAAGCGAGGGGCGTGCCAACACCAGACACCCCAAACCACCTGGGCCAAAGGCCTGCTATTCCCGCAGTCATGACGCCCGCGAGCAGCAGCTCTGTGCTCTGCCACACACACACCCGGGATGGGTGTACGTGGCGTGCAGTGGGCTGGGGCAGAGCTCCGGGAAACGTGTCTCCCAGAAGCCCGGGGAGTCTAGTCCAGAGTGGTCCCTGCAGCACCGCCACTGCAGAGGCCAACTCGAGGCGCCAGAAAGCCACGTCCGAGCAGACTGCCCCAGGAGCCAACCTCGGACGGCCCGCCAGCCAGGAGGGGCCCCCACCGGGAAGCGAGCCGGGCAGTGCTGCTGGGGGTGGGGAGAGGCAGGCGGACACCCCCACACCTGAGGCCAGCTCGAGGCCTGAGCGCACACAGGGCCTCTCTGGAACGGCCCTCCCCGCGCTGTGGCGACCTATGGGGGCCGCAGGGCCACCTACAGGGCCGCTCCCTGCACAGAGTGGCTCGCGCGGGAGGACACACGGGCAACGAAGACAGAGATGACCAGGCCCTCGCTGCCTGTGCTCGGCCGAAGCGCCTCTGCCGCGGAGAGCGGAAGCCAGCGGCACACAGACCGTCCAGCCGCGGCCTCGGCACAGCCCTCCAGCCGGGATCCCCGCAACTCCTCGGCGGCCACGTGCTCGCTCAGCCCAGGGAGAAGCCGCTGCTCACCTGATGGAGCCGACAGGCCGGGCAGAGGCGACGGCGGGGTGCGCGGCTTTCCTGGGGTGGGTGAGGTCGGAGAGCGGAGAGAGGGGAGGCGGCCGGGGGTCACTGCCGGTTGCCCTCCGCAGAGTGCTGGCCTGCAGTTATTGACATAAATAAAAACTTGGTGGTCTAAAAAAGGTTGCCGTGAGTGAAGAGGAAACAAAAGTGAAAAAAAAACAAAGAAAAAAACAAAAGAGCCCAGAAGGAAGGATGGGGGGACAGGAGAGAAAAAGGGTAGGGTGGGGGATGGTAGAAGAAGAATCAGAAGTGTTTTTGGTTAGAAACAAAAGGGAAAAAAGGAGAAAATTTAAACAAAAATCTCAGACCACTACGCTGAGCTTCCCGCTGCAGAGGGCGGGCCTCGCCGGAGCGCGGCTCCCGGCCCCACCAGCCCTCACCCTGGCCTCCGTCTGCGCGGGGACTAGCACCCACGGGTGCAGAGCACACCCCCACCGCCAGCCTCCAGCCCGCAGTGCCCCGACCACCCAGGCACAGAGGCCTCCGTTCCGGCAGCCCCCCACAACCTGAAGCAGCCTGCTTGCGCCCCCGCTGAGCCTCCTCGGCGCTGCCCCCGCACACCCACCTTCTTGGCTGAAAGGGCCAGTTTTTTGGCTGGTGGAGGAGACATGAGGCTGGCGGGCTCGGTGGCGGTGCTGCCCAGCACGGGGCACTTGGGCTTGCCCCCCTTGGCGTCCTCCCCGGCCGGCGTGGCTTTGGAGGCGGTCCCCTGAGAGTCGCAGAAGTGGCCGCCGCTCCCGGGGGCCCGGGCCGAGTCACTGCTGGCGGAGTGCTCTGAGCTGGAGCCGCTGGAGCCCCTCCTCTCGAGGCCAGTGGCCCCGTGGTCCGCCCGGGGCCCGTGCCCATTGGCAGTCCCTGCGGCGGGCAGCTTGAGTGAGGTAGAGGGGGCGGAGGCCCTGTCCCAGGAGCCCTGCCTCCGGCTCTCGGGCCGGCCGCTGCTGCAGTGCAGCCCCTGAGTCGGCTTGGGGGGCGGGGAGGCATGCTGCAGGGGGGGTGTCTTCTTGACCACCTTTCCGGGCCCATCCAGGATGGCTGGGGCGTGCGGGGGTGTTCTGGAGAGTCTGGGGGACGGGGATCCCGAGGAGGACTTTGGAGAAACGTAACCATTCTGCGACTTCAGGCCCACCATGGAGCCGTTCCTGGCAACAGGTACCCCGACCTCATGGGTGGCCTGTAGCTTCTTCACGGTCACAGGATCTGGTCGCTAAGGGAGAACAGAGCAGAGGACACGGTCAGCACCTGCAGGGATGGAGGGGTGATGGGCACCTCGAGACAACGACCCAGGGGACCCAGTGACCGAGGAGCACGGTGCCAATGCGGACGGGGGCGGCGCGGAGCCCGGGAGCAGGGCTGTGTGGGGTCACCGGTACAGTGGAAGCAGAGTGCTGGCGGCGAGACTGAGATACAGAAGAGCACAGAGGAAAACCCGCCAAGGCCCCAGGGCCGACCAGCCACCGGACGCTGCTCTTCCTCCCGAAGGGTCTGGGCTGCACTGGCGCCCCAGGCTCCCAGCGCCACCGTCCGTGCCCGTCTCTGGGTCAGCGGCTCCTCTGTGCGTGACGTGGAGCCGGCGTGGATGGACAAAGCATGAGCGCCCCCTACTCCTCTCGGCTCGCACCACGCTGACCGCGTCTTCACCGCTGTGTCCAGGTCCTCCCGCCGGCCCTGTCCAGTCCCGTCTGCGGTGAAGGCGGCTGAGGACTGGGCCTACCCCGGCGCTGAGTTCCCTGGGCCGATCCAGGCTTGGGTCTCTGGGCCCGACCCTGCCAAGTCACTGGGGCGCCCTGACCGGCAGCAGGCGCTCCCCTGGCCGCTCTGTAGGCACCAGAGGGTCTGTTTCTGTCACGTGAATGGAGGAGCCTGGGCGTGATACAGACGTAACCTTCTCTTGCAGTTGCTGTGAACATTTTTAGAAGTTTTGCTGTTTACTTGTTTCCATGAGCAAAAATGTGAAGTTTAGCTTTGCCAATTTGTGATTTGTTTTTCTAGATTTTATTCCTCACTGTTTAAGTCCAAGATCTTTCTTCTTCCAGAAGCTTACTAGAATTTTTATGATCCTTAGTTTGTTCCCTTTTCTCTGTTCTAAAATAGCTTATCCCTTACAGCGCTGTCTCTGAGAGGAACACGTGTCCCGCTCACCGCGGAGCTGGCGCACTGGCGGGCCAACTTCAGGATGTTGACAGTAAGATGACTTCTGTGCCACTACAGGGTACTTCAGACACGATTTCCGTCATGAAAAGGGGTGTGGTGGGGACACCCGAGGCTGCTCTGTGCCTGCTGGGCCTCGGGCCAAGCTGCCCCGAGTCTGCGGCCCTCCGGTGCACCCGGTGACACTCTTGGCCGTGCGGAGACCACGGCTCCTCAAGGCTGTCAACCCCAGGGCTCCCAGTTCAGCTTCCACGCTGTGGATGGTGGAAGGAGACACGGGCTCATGGACATGAGGACAAGGCCTCGGCCGCGTGGCCCAGCAGTCGGGTCCACTTTGCCTCCCCCGGTGGGAGTGGTCAGATGGGGCCCAAGAAGCTCAGAGCCGCGGGCCTCCCCGGTGGCGCAGCCGTTGAGCGCTGGGTCGCGAAGCTGCCCGCAGCCTCTGCAGCGCCGGTTCGATCCCTGGCCGCCGGGCAAGGGTCCCACATGGCACGCAGACCTCTCCTGCCGCCCGCTGCGCCCCTCAGCAGTGTCCTTCGGTCCTTCTGCCTGCTCTGCTCCCCGCTCTGGCTCTGGTGAATTCCCTCACCCTCCCGCGCTTCTGACTGTACCCAGTGCTTGTATATAAATAAATAAATCTTTAAAAAAAAAAAAAAAAAAAAAAAAGAAGCTCAGAGCCGCGAACTGCCGCTGTCCTGGTTGGTGGAGCGCTCCAAGCAGCCCCGCGGCAGTCTCTGGCTGTGGACATGCGGCTGTGGTGCCCCTGCTGGCCCCTCGCTGTTGGCTTACACGGGCGCATGTGCTGCTGCTTCGCAAGTGGGCGTCACTCGGGCAGGCGTTAGATGCGCTGCCCGTGTTCCCCAGGCACGAGCGTGTGCTCCTGAGGACCAGGACGTGTCTGAACGGTGCAGTTACTGGGACCAGGCAGCCGACCCAGGCGCCCGCTGCTCCTGCTTTCAGTCTTAAAATGTGAAGGTGAAATGTCTGCTCCCGGGAGCTGAGGCCAGCAGCGTGCCTGTGGCCGCGCCCTTCAAGCAGGAGTCTGGGAGAGGGTGCTCAGGGCTACCTGCCCTGCCCCTACTGCCCTCCACCCACCTCGGGGGCCAGCTGCAGAGGCAATAGAGTGACGGGCCTCCCAGTGGTGCCCCTGTTGAGGCCTGGCTCCAGGGGCCGGAGTGGCCCAGGCTCAGGGGCTGCTGTGCCAACAAGTCTGTGCACATACCTTTCCAGGGAGTGGGGAAGAGACAGCCGTGTGGCTGGTGTTCTTCCTGGAGCGGTCAGCAGCCAGGCCGTGGTGGCTGGCCAGAGAGGAGACTGACCGGGAGATGCAGCCCTCGGGACTCTTCTTAGAGCTTGGAATTCTGCCAAAGGGAGAAGATGGGTCAGGGGCTCCCTCCTGGCACTGAAACAGCCCCACAGAGGCTGAGTGTGAGGAGGGGTCAGAATGCAGTCAAGGCCGTGACTTCACTTAAAAAGAAGGCAGGACCAGCCAGAGGGAACCCTAACGTATGTGCTCGGGCGCCTGTCTGTGCCCTCGCTCTCCCTCAGACCAGCCAGCAGCTCGGCGCTCTACACAATGCCTCGGTCAGCAGCCAGCCAGAACGGCTCTGCCAAGCTTCCTCCAGACTCAGGGGAACATCACAGATCAGGTAACAAAAAGGCTTCCTGTCCCTGTGTCCCCTAGGCAGCCCCCAAAAAGGCCTTCTTCCAAGGCGCTGCGGCAGCACCTACTTCAGGGCCACCCCAGTCAGCGTCGCTGTGGAGCAAGGCGTGCAGCAGGCTGCCATCCAGACACCACACCTGATGTGGGCGATGAGGGACAGGTCACTGTGCAGAGGGGCGCACAGACCTGGCTCTGACCCCCCAGAGGCTTTGCTTTTACTCAACCACCAGGCATCTGGGCTCTGAAAGGTCCTTCCCAGGGGCTGCTCCACTATGCGTGAGGGTGAGTTGACCGCGGCCCGCACCTCCCACCTTTGGGCCTCCCCGTGGTGTTCACAGAAGGTCACACCAGGGACCGAGGGCACCCAGGAGAGGGCGGGCTCATTACCGCAGATAGAAGAGCACGTAGGCCTGCTGGTTCAGGACCACCTTGACGTTGCTGGAATGGACCAGGGAATCGTTCATCTGGTACCACTGTCCGTTGCTGGCCTGAAGCAGCACAAGGTGCGGTGGGAAAGCAAACAAAACAATAAACCCTCGCAATCTTATTTTGTAAGACGAAAACAAAAAAATCGGTCAATCGCTGCATCTATGAAAGCGTCTAAGCCCGAAGGCCCCCGAGGGCTCCCTGCTGGCACACCGAGGTGGCCCCTGCCCACCCTCCAGAGGCCCAGGGTGGTGTCACCTGTGGGCACCAGCCACCCGCACTCAGGCTTCCCTGAGCACGCTTGAGCCCCACCCACATGCCGCGAGGGGACGCTCTGGATGGCCTCATCGGCTGGCAGGAGGGGCCCCCACGCTGAGGGAGCGCCGACCTTCACGTAGCAGTAGTAGTGCCCCGCGTGGCAGCTGTAGCCCGAGTGGACCAGGACGGCGTACAGCCCGTACATCACTGGGTCGCCGCTGCTCTGTGACATGTACGGCCGGATGTTCAGGAACTCCGGATAGCCCACGTCCTGTTTGGGAAACCAAGGAGTGGCAGTTAAAATACAAGAGGCCAGGGGGGCCCCCTGGTGGTGCAAGGGGTTATCTCAGCACTACAAGCTGTCCGCAGCCTCTGCAGCACGAGTTCGATCCCCGGCCACAGAGCGACCCACACGGCGCAGCACACCTCTCCTGTCTCCCCGCTGCTCCCCTCAGCAGTGTATCTCAGTGGATCCACCTGTTCTGCTACCCACTCTGTCTCTGGGGAATCCTCCCACCCCCCGCCCCTCTGGCCTGCGCCCCAGCTCTTGTATGCTTAAATAAAATAAACCTTTAAAAAACAAGAGGCCAGGAGGAGGGTTTCTCCAGCCCACCCATGTGAAACTACTCCGTGTCCCACCAGGCGGCCTGCGCCTTGCCTGGGCCGCGCATCCAAGTCAGTGCCCTCGCTGCTGGGTCCCAACTGTGGGGGGAACGGGGTTCCTTTCCCTCCCTTGCACTCTACAGGGGCGCTGCGGGGAGAACAGGGAGCCAAGTTAGGGCTTTAGGGAAAAAAGTGCTGAAGTCACACAGCCACTGCCATGGCAAGCTAAGGCTTGAGCAGACTGGGTCGGAACACAGGTTCTACCAAAGTTCTTTTTTTCTTACTGGTCATTTTTCTAGGCATCTATTTTAAGGATAGAGACACGCCCCAGGAAACTCCCCGAGACCCAGTCAGCACCGTGTCGAACGAACGTGCACCGTCCCGAGGCCTGCCGCAGCACCGACCGCCCGTCCCTGGGCTGCACTGCAGCTGCACGGTGCCCGTCCCCGTGTCCGGCTGCGCTACATCAGCACAGCTGCGACGTGCACCTACGCTGTCTCTTCCGTGGGCAAACTGAGAATCTCCGAAGCTAATATGCACAAGGGGCTCGTGGGTCTAACCCCACCTTGTGAGATCTGTGCCCCCACACCAAATAGACCCACATTCTCAATCGCGTTCCGACAGATCAGGTCCAGGAGACAGGCTAGAGTCCAGGCCCCCAGGCAATCCCCGCACTGGCTCACCCACTGCCCGTCCTTTCCTGACTCCCAAGTGCTGGCAAGCGAGGGGACTGCCACCCTGGCACGGCAGCAGGATGAACAAACGCAGGGCTCCCAGCGCCCACCCTCACTCTCCGCCATCGGTTCCCCTCCGGGGCACGCAAGGTGCGGCGCGGCTTACTACTGCGCAGGCTCTGGCAAGGCCCGGGGCTCAGCCTGGGCTCCCCAGCTGTAGCTGTGCACAGGACACCCCTTTCCAGGTGCACGTAGCCACTGCCCTGAGCCAGCCCCCCCCCCCCCACCGCCTAGAGGCTCGGACAAGCTGCGGGGCCCCAGGCCACGCGAGCCTCTAACACCTGAGAAAGAAGGTGCATCTCTCAGACACAGTGTGACACCGCCGTGCACAGTGCAGGCCTCTGCCCGCACCGCCTCTGCTGCGCCTCGTACGTGTTCCACGAGCGCCGGAGTCAAGGGCCCGTCACCCTCTGTCCTCAGGGAGATGCCGACCTCCCCCGGCAGGAACACCGCCCGCGTGGCAGAGGTTGGTGGAAAAAATCCAGCAAGACAGTAGTTCTTGACCTGACCAGGAAGCGGTCCTTAGGGACTGGCCCCCAGGACCGTGCCGGCTCGGGGCCCTGCCCTCTGACACTGCGCTCACGGGCTCGGGGGCAGCACCTGGCGTCTGCTTTGCTGAAGAGCTGCCCAGGTACTCGGATGTGCGCCTCGTGGGCCCAGACGTGGCCGCGAGTCGGCACTCACCTTGGTGATCTTCCCCCCGCTGAAGTTGGCGAAGCGCTTGAGGGAGAGGGTTAGTACGCCGGATGCTCTGTGGATGGTGAAGCGCTTGCTGGCGGGCACTTTCTCCTTGCACCTGCAAGGAGGGCAAGAGACGGGCTCGGCGACTGCCCCGGGAGGCCGGCCCCCACGTGCACGAGCAGCAACTGCCGCTCCAAGGACACGGCTTCTGAGATGAGCCGCGTGCGTCCCACGTCCCGAGTCGGGTCAGCTCGACTTCAGGAAAGGAAAGCCGTCACAGGACTAGAGGAAGGTTCCGCGGCAAAGGCAAACTCTTCCCAGTTAAGGGCCAGAAAGCAGAAGCATGTGGCCCTGGGAAAGCACAGCGGGAACAGGGACAGCAGGGGCGGCCACGCAGCGTGGGTAGGGGCGCCCACTGTGCGCCCAGCCAGACACGGGGTGGCGGGACGCTCCCGGAGGTGAGGGAATGGAAGTTAGGGAGAGCCGCGAGGGCATGGGATGGGAACTCCGACACGCACAGGGAGAGTCGTCCTGATCACAGCTTCCCAATGACCAGCGCCCAGCAGCGGCGCAGCCCTGGCAGGCATGAGGCACAGGCCCTCTGCTGAGGTGGGAGATAATTCCAGAAAACCCTGGATGCCGCAGAGCAGACCTCTCTGAGCAGTGGGCGCCCGGGGTCCCACTGGACCCTGCACTCTGCTGCGTGCAATCCCCACTCCCTGCGCCCTGGTTGGCTCGCCCTGTAAAGTGGGGTCCTAACAGCTTCCACATCACTTCATCTGCGTGACTCAGAGGCCTTGAGTTCCAAGACACACACCAGGCACCCCGGTGACGCAGCGCGGGGCCACTCACTTGGCACACATGTAGGCGTTCTCTCCACTCAGGACGTCGGGCTTCACAAACAGCTCCAGCGCACGCACGATGTTCGCAGCTTGCTGAGGACACAACAGGGAGAAAGCAGGAGAAAAGGGCTGACTCGACAAACGCCGGAGGCCAGGGCTCCAGGCCGGGTGGCACTTCACGCTTCAAGCAGCTCGCTCGTTGCTCCTTCTGCAGGTCAGTATACCTGCCAGGGGGCCGGGGAGCCAGCCCAACCGTCTCCATGAGCCTGGCAGCCCCGAGGCATCCGACCTGCCCCAGGCACCAGCATCCGCTCCTGGGCACACGCCCACCTCAAGCCCCGCAGCCATCACTCTCCAGGCCCCAGGACAGAAATGTGTGCTTTACCCTCGTTCTTTTAAGCAAAATACACTTAAGAAAACGGTTACTAAATAAGCAAAAGTGGTAACTTCAACTTCAGTGTCAGGATTCTTAGGATTTTTCCCTCCTCCAGTTGGGGGACACGGAAGTCCTCACTCAGTGTCGCTGTGACTTTAAGGGACACCACACCCTGGGGGGCCAGGCCCCTGGTGCGTCAGGAAGTTCAGCATCACCGCCACATCCCAGCCCTGCCATCCTGCCCTCCCATGCCCCAACCCCAGAACATGGACACAGGGTCCCCCGCCCATCAGGGCCGTACCCGGATCTCCAGCGCCACGTCCAAGTAGGGGTCGTAGGTGTCGGAGACGCTTCTGCACACGGAGCACTTCACTGCAGGGGACAGAGAGGTAGTGGGCGGTCAGGCCAGCCCCAGGTTTCCAGGACCCGACGCAGAGGTCCTCCAGCTCGCTGACAACCAGCACGCACAAGGAGACATGACAGCCCCCCTGCCACCGCCACCCAAGGGGGGACACCTGCCCCCCCGCACACCCCTCCGCCGTGGACAGTGCCACACCTGCAGAACGAGGGGAGCGGGAGGGAAAGGACACGCCCTCGCTCCACCACGCCTGGTGCTCGGCTCCCGGGACAGTGTGGCCATCAGCGCAGCCCGCACGGGGGCACAGGGATCCGGCTCCAGGCTGCCAGCTTGCATGGCTCTGCCGCCCCAGCCCCAGCCCGGGGGCTAATCCTTAGCTAAACCTTAGTTAACATTCAAATCCTTGACAAGAAGGGGTGAAGGAAACGCCCCCACTTACCCCGAGACCTGAGGTAGCCGCCAAAGATCTGATGGACCAAAGTAGTGGCCTGTGTCTGTCGATCCAGCCTGAAAGGAGATGCGGCCGTCAAGAACAGGACCGGCCGCCACCCCGCCCCCCGGCTGCCACATGCCCACGCGGCCCTGCACTGCCCAGCGGGTCTGCACCCAGCTCTCATCTGCACAGATGTGGTGGGTCTGTACCCCACAGTTGCCACTTGAGCCCCTTGGCTCCCTCCCTGCCTCCCAGCAGGCAACCTTGCCTCCTACTTCCAAAAACAAGAAAACCCAGAAATGCATCCGCCCCGCCCCGTCTGGTCTCAATGAAAGACGCCCTACGTCCCGGAGCCCGCCTCTCCACCCCCGCCTCAGACCTGCAAGACCAAGGCACCTGCTCCTCTGGCTGCCCCTCGTCTGAGCTCTGCGCTGGCGAAGGGCAGCAGCAGGGTCAGGACTCCCCTCCACCCTTGTAGCTGCCAGCGGTGCTGCACCTCCCCCTGCAGTGACCTTTAGGGCTAAGCCATGGTCCCTAGGTCTGGCTGGGCAAGGAACCAGGCGCAGGGGGAGAACAGCAAGACCCCCTGAAGACATAGATAAGACGGAAGCCTGTTGAAAGATAACGACCACCAGGAGCCACTACAGGAATGCTGTCCGCACGGAAACTTATCTCGGAAACTTATCTCGCCTTCTCAAGGCCCACAAACTTTATTCTAATACAACTGTCTCTCTAAAATCTTTTCTCTTTCTAAAATCTTTTCTCTTTCTCTGTCTAAAAAGGTCATTGGTTGCTGATTAAAAAAGAACATACGAAATCTAGTAACTAGGCCAATTCAAATGAAACGCTACTAAACTCTGTGTGTTAACAGAACTGTGAGCTTAATAATCTCTCTGTTGTATGCTTAGCCTTGTCAGCACTAATCTTAATGATGAAAATATTACATTGTGAAAAGTAAAACTCACCGGTGCTAATTAATAGTAATTCAGTGGTAGTGAGTAGTTTAAACAAAAAGTAATCATATAAAACAAAAAGAAAAATGAATAGCCTAACTACTTAGGAATGCGCCTGGGCCCAGATGTACATCACTGCCCTGTCAATGATAAGCTAAACCTGTGAGCAAGCGGATTTCTTCACTGATGTTCGCCTTTCCTATGCTTTTGGAAAACATATATATACTGGTCACCAACTCAAAGAAAATTACACTCAGATTTTCACTCTTGAAGCGTGTCTGTTTGTCATTTCTTTCGCCGAATCCCTGACCACCCTGCGCAGTCTCTCAACCCTGGGACGGCCTCATCGTTCACTGCTGTGCTGGTCCGCGGCAGGTGGCGCCCGAACATGGGGCCCAAATTCAAATATTGCTGAGTTGGTCCGCGGCACAGCGGCGGGCACGGGCGTGGCCTGGGCCCAGGCTCAGGTGCACCTGTCCTCAATCCCAGCCTCGCTTACTGACTGGGGTGAGGAGTCCCAGGCCCCGATGCACGCCGGGCCCCAGAGCTGTGCCAAGAGCGGAGTATAAAAGGCACCTGAACGCTGCAGGCAGGAAACAGTGTAACGACGGCTCTGGAAACAACACCCCTGTCTAGACTGCTTCAGTTCTCACGTGCCCCCCCCCACCCCCGAATCTAGTTTACACTCGCTCCTCTGAAGCCATCCTCCCGGGGCTCGCTGGGCCCTGACACACGTGCAGAAGCCCTGGAGTCCTCCCCTGGAGGCCGCCCCACCCTCCCAGTCCCCTCGGGGCCCAGGCCCAGCCCCTGCGCCTGCCAGCTCTCCAGGGCCTGCCCCGACTCCGTGGCTCCTGGCTGGCCGAGCTTGCTGCCCAGGCCGCTCACCACCACGTGGGGCGATGCGGGTGACCATGGGCAGACCTAGCCCTCCGCCACCCACAGAGCACGCTGACATCCAGGAGGCTGCTCCAGCAGCATCCCCAGGCTCTGTGAATGCCTAAGGCGCATCGCTCCAAACCAGGTGGGGAGCCCAGACATCAAATCACGATCGGCAGGGCTCGGGAAGGGAAGCCAGCCGCACCACCGCCGCCCGCCCAAAGGGGTGTTTCAATGCGAAGCCACATGGCTGCAACCTCGGCAGACACTGGAGACCAGGGACAGCTGCGGGAACACGTCTACCGGATCCGGGTCACCTACGTCAGCCAGAGGCCAGTGGGACCAGGGCAAAGAGAGCCACTCGGAATCTACCCGCATGAAGGCCTCGCGCAGAGAACGCGCTGACTTCAGGTAGAAAGCAAGCCAGATTCTAGCAAGCCAGCTTTTCCGCACTGCCATGCCCCGGGGGATCAAGGGCAGTCCTGGAACTGAGCCGGAGACTGGGGGAGCCAGGAGTGCCCGAGCAGCACCTGAACCCCTCCTGGGAGAGGATTCCAGGGGTTGAAGCACTTCACCCACCGAAACCAGAGGTTCTCCCACTATCCCTGCCACAACTCGCCTACTTTTCTGAAGGACGTTCTAGATGCTTCTGAGAGTCAGTATCTCCAGAGTCAGGGATGGGGTCTACACCCTAAATCCAAGCAACACCACGAAATAGGGGGCATTTGCAGCCTCATTTCTTGGAATGGTAACATCCTTGCCGGTTACTGTCTCACGGAAGGGAGTACGTGGCATAAAGCCATCAGATGGCACACGCATCATTCCATGCTTTCACATTTGCAGTAAGAAATAACTGGGCAGGGCTTCCCTGGTGGCCTAGGGGTGAAGTCTCAGGCTATCACTGCTGCCACCTGAGCTCAATCCATGGGAAGGGAGCTGACCCACAGGGCGCGGCAGACCTCTCCTGTCTCCCCGCGGCTCCCTCAGCAGGGTATTTCAGTCAGTCTGCCTGTTCTGCTCCCCACTCTGTCTCTGGTGAGTCCTCTCACCCCCACAACTCAGGCCCACACCCCAGTTCTTCTATGGAAAAAAAAAAAAAAGAAAGAAATAACTGGGCAGAGTAAAACCTCAATCAAGTTCCTAACTACCCGCCCTCAAGTTCCCCTGCGTGGTCAAGGCCGCCGTAAAAGCCCCAGCATTCCCACCACCCCGTGCTCTATCAGAACCACTGAGGGTTTGCCAAGGACAGGAAGAGCCTGTGGCCTGGCAGAACATCCTCCGAGATGTGCACGGAAGCACCTGCCCACCCGCGAGTTGCTGAGGCAGTGTTCTGCCTGGTCCTGCTGAACCTCCCTGGGCTGGGGAGTGTGCCAGGAGGCGCCCCTTCTAGGGGGAAGGGAAAGACTTCGGCAGGCGAGAGGCTGGGTGCTAGTCTGCTGTATGTCCTGAGGAAAGCCCTGCCAGCAGGGAGGGGCGGCGCCTCCAGGGGCGGGAGGGCAGCATGGCGGCACGTACTTGGCACAGCCACTGAGGCAGGCCTTCTGCATGGCGTCGATGGTGTATCGCAGGAACTCGTGGGCATCCTCCTGGTTCCCAAAGCGGAAGTGCCGGGCAATCTCTGGGGAGGGAAGGCACACTGTATCAGCCGGGTCGGGCGCATGCCTCCTCCGACAAGCCTGACCGTCTGCCCGGCACCGGCACCAGGCTGTCCTGGGGGAGCAGCACCTTCAGAGGTCAGTGAGGGGACTAGTGCTCCAGCTACCCCTTCTCTTGGAAAGCACAGCTCCTCCTGGAGGTGACTCCTCAGTACGCTGCCAGGGCTGAGGGCGGCAGACTCCTGGTGAGATGCCAGGGTCCTGAGCCCATGCGGCAGCACCGAGCGTCAGATGCGAGACCAACGCTAGCTGGCCAGGAAGACAAAGGATGCAGAACGACTGTCCTGTCCAAGTGCTACTCACACACAGGCTTCAAGACCAGCTGACCTCCCTCTGCCAAGTGAAGGGAGTTTCCAGCACAGGAACTGGACGAACAGCTTCCGTGGAACGGGCCCAGCGGCACACTCCACCACCCAGCTCCCGGTCGCGCTCACCTGCCGGCCCCGGGCCACTGCAGCCCGCCCGCTTCGGCCTTTGCCCTCCCTGCCAGCACCCCCGCCCCCCAAGAGGCTCAATGGGGAATCGACTCACTTTTCAGGTCTCGGATGAAGGAGACGGGCTTGATGGCGTTGCCGCTGTTGGCAAAGGCCTGCACCATGTGGTTCTGCATGACGCACAGCATGCAGAAGCTCCCCTGGTGGCCTGCAGACAGGAGGCGGCCGTCACCTGCAGGCAAGAGCCCTGGGCGGGTGAGCGCGCCTCTCGCACCGAGAGAGAAGCGCGGGCAGGGGCAAGGCAGTCGGGACAGGGGGCGGAGCCAGCGACCCGACTGCAGGAAAAGCCCGTGCTGGGGCCTTCAGGCCAGGACCCCCATCCCTGTGGTTCCAACACAGTCACCCGTGCCCGGTGCCTGGGGCCGGGTGACGTGCGCGTCTATTTATGAAAACACACACGTCTCTTTCTCAAGACGGAGCTCAGGGAAATGTCTCCTCCAGTGCTGAGGCTGCACCGCGCGGTCAAGGCGCTAGGCTGCTCGGGGCCCCGGCGGCCCCTTCCTTTCCTCCTCCCCTGGGCCCTGCTCCTGAGAAGCCCTGCACGGCCGCGGAGCCGCGGCGACCTGGGCACACGTGCCCCCACAGAGGCTCGTTGCAGAACGGCCAGGCGCGACCAAGCTGGCGACCAAGCTGGCGGCTGCGGTCTGCCAACCGCGGCTTCAGGATGTCTCTGAACTGCGCCTCCCTGGCCTGAGGTCAGGGCACCAGGTTTACCTTTAAGATTATGAAATATTTTGAACACAAAGACCATCTGAGGTCGTTGCTCCCTGTACACCGTTGGCGGGAAACCGCTGCTGCAGGAAACTGGACAGCGGGTCCTCAAAACAGCGAAGCCAAGCCCGCCACGCAGCCCTGCGTCTGGGTGTTCGCCAGAGAAGCAAGAGCAGGCCCGAGAGAGCTGAACATCCGCGCTCCCGTGACATCCGCGACAGCAAAAAAGTGGGGGTGACAGAAATGCCCCTGATGAGTAAGTGGGGTAAAAAGGCACAGACAGGAGGAATGGCAGCCTCAGGAAGGAAATCCTGACCCCCCCCCAGGCACGAGCCTGAGGATGTCATGTCAGTGGAGCCCGCCAAAGCCTGCGCTGCGGGGTCCACGCCGAGGAGGCCCCCAGAGGGGTGAGACCCAGAGACTGGGGGCAGGCCTGGGAAGGGAGTCCCTGGGAAGGGGACGAGCCTCACTCCGCACAGGGTACATAACGTATGCTCGCGTTTCCTGGGACACGAAAGCCCTGTGTTTCCAAAATGCTAATACACACGCGGGGTCCTACAGGGCTGGCCCTTCCCGTGCGCGCCTGTCCGAGCAGGGAGGCGCATACTGCTCGGCGAGTTTTCACACTGACCTTCCTGACCGCAGCCGCCACCGCAAGGACTGGGAGGCCCTACCTGGATGAGGCCTCACGACCGCTGGTGACACCCCAGGGTGTGAGCCCAGGAGCCACCCCTCGCTCGGAGCCCCACACGGACGCCCCCTTAGGGCAGGCGCATGAGACGCCCGCACAGGTGAGGAGCAACTGAGTGGGCAGGCGCTGTCCAGAACCCGCGTGTCGGCTTGCGGGGAAGACGGGACTGCCGCTTTCTCCCACCGTGGCCTGACCTCCGTTTCCTGCTCCTCTCGTTTAGCTAAGTTGCACTCTAGTCGGTCCAGGTTTTGACCTTGGGCGTGTCCTGCAGCGCCCTGGGATGCCACAGCAACAACTGATCACAAAGTCACTGAACACTCGTGGTCTGGGTGTCTCCTCAGACCCCTTCTCTGCTCAGCTATTCTCGGGGAGACTGAGACCGCCCTACTGTTCAGCGCGCAGGGTTCCCACTGTGCCCGCCCGGCGCAGGTGCACTCACAGGTCCGCGCGTGCTCCTTGGAGAGCAGGTAGTTGGCTAGAGGTGGCGTGTAGGTCAAGCACTGGATGGTGGCATTCAGGAAGCAGGTGTTCCCCAGGTTGTGCAGCCCGGCGCCCACGCGGTAGACACGCTCCCACTTCAGCGACAGCCGCTCCCCGGGGAAGAGCACTTTCTGCGGGGCGGGGACGCCGTCGCCGCCCTCGTGTGCATGCTCGCTGCCTGAGAGCAAGGGATACAGGAGGGGCCGTGAGGCGCGCCCCGGAGACACGAGAGGATGGTGCCGCGCATGCTCCCGTGCAGAGCATGGCTGCAGGGCCCCGTGGCCCAGCTACTGCAGTTCCAGAAAGCCCCGGAAAAGACCAGTCACCCCAGGTGCTTCCAGAGCGGGACGCGAGGTCCAGAATCCCAGGACGGGGTACAGGTGAGGGCGGGAGCCAGGCCCCGCACCCTGCCGCCCCTCTCCTGTCTGTCTCCGAGCCCTGCTTCTTACACAAGGCCGGGCTCTCTCTGGCCAGGCCTGGCTACCGACTCCACAGCTGGACCCGCCGCCCACGGTCTTCTGATCACGTGACACCATCCCACCAGCCAGTGGGCGTGCGAAGCCTCCAAGCAACCTACCCTGTCTCCTGGCTGGTGCCTCGTCTCCGCCCCGGTGGCGACTGGCTGCCTCTGCTTTGGGGTTCAGCAGCACATATTTGCTCTTCAGCGACTCCAGCTGGTAGGAGAAGCTCTTGCTGGCGGGCTCGAACTCAATCTTCTGCAAGAGGACCTTCTTGGCGGACGCAGCCAGAAGCCTGCCCAGCTCTCCATCCTCGGCCGTGTCCCTGCGCCCAGACTTCAGGGCTTCCTTCAGCTTATCCACGATGGGCATGGCGTGCGGCTACGGAGACAGATTGGGGCAGGGTGACGCGCTGCTCCCACTTTCTCTAACTCCCCCTGGCACGTTAGGGCACCAGGCGCCAGCCACTGCAACGCTCCCTGCCACGCTCCCATGCCTGCACCGGAAGGGCAGACAGACGTGTCACCAGTCCCAGGACGTGGAAGCTCCACACTTGCCTGCTGAAGGAATGGTGCCCCCAGAGAAGGCCGCCCCAGGCAGCTGCGGCACCGAGGCGGCCCAGCCATCCTGCACCCAACGCTCGCCTGGTGACCGCAGGCGGCATGCCGGGCGTGATGTCTTTGGCAGGCAGCCCTGGGGGGCTCACGTCTGCCCCAAGCAGGAAACACTCGTCCTCACGTGACACCAGTCACCAAATCTACAAAAGGACTCAGCACAGTGAGCCGAGACCGCTGGCCTGCCCCAAGGTCACAGGCCTCGCCGTGAAGGCCAGCGCCGTGCCTTACAAAGAGCCCAAACCCATCCGAGCCGAGACCTCCGCACTCCAGACGCTTGAGGGCCGCAGGCAGCGGGAGCCTTGGTGCTGAGGACAACACCGCACATGCTGGCGAGGCCAAGGCTGCCGTGATAGTGCCTTCGCCTATTTAATATTGTAACGTGGTTAGCGTGGGAAATCTTAAGTCACCTTTGTGATTTGCTTGTTGGAAAGAGCCTGGACAGATGATCTTGTCTACACTGAGGGAGGAACGACAGGACAGGACAGACCAGCAGCCGGAGCAGAGGAGGTGGGGCAGCCACGGGCTCCCCTCGAAGCCCCGAAGTCCAGGCCGAAGACTGTGACTCCCCAGCTCGCCTAGTCTCTCCAGAATCAGGGCGAAAGGAGCTCCCAGGGTGGTGGAGAGATTAATGGGGGACAAGCCAGCTGCCAGCTGAGTTCGGGGCAGGTAGCACAGGAGAAGGGAGGCTACAATTGTATCCACCACCTGTCCTCCCTCCCAGCCAGGGAAGGTCTGAGTCACAGCTAGAGAAAGCGCCCCTCACCCTGCTCCTCCCCAGTAGAAGGACGGCCTCATCAGGAGCGGTCCTGGCCTGTCGGGGATGAGCCAGCTAGTCAGGCGGCCCCAAAACCCTGCTCAGGAAGGACCTGCTCCCGCACCTCCACCAGGATGCTCCAGGCAGTGCCATGGGCCTCTGATTCTTTCGTGGCTCAAATTTTTCTATGAAAACTTGCATGAGGACCAGAAACGTAAGAAATTTGATGTGCTCACAGCAAGCACAAGTTGAAGGAACAGCCTCTCCCGGGGAACCACCCAGTGTCCTCACAGGCGCTCACCGCTGGGTCTCCCGGGTCTCTGAGAGGAAGACGGGCGGGCCCCGCTGCTTACCTGGGACGTCTGGGCCTGGCCGCCTGCTGTGCAGCATGGGCTCAGCTCCTGAGCCAGACGAGGTCGGCGCTGGGCGGGCCCCCCAGTTCACGGGCACCCCTGGTTTGGTCTGTTAAACCTCACAACTGCAGGCGTGTGGTCCAGCAGGGGTGTCAGAACCTGTGGGGCAAAGAGGGAGCTCATGAAGGTGGCTCCACCACGGTCTCACCAACCCTGCTCCAGGACGCAACACAGACTGGCGCAGGAGGCCTTCCACGTGGGAGTCCGGAGAAGCGGCGAATGGCCACAAAGTAGCGCACTGCACGTGGGAGAGCTGCCCTTCCTTCCCGGCTTCACCTTCAGCCAGCAACAAGCCCAGAGAAGGCTCTCCCAGATCCCCCACACGCGCCCTTCTGTTCCAGCCTAGGTCACATTTCAGGAGAGCAACAGATGATTCTGCCAGACTTCACCCGGCAGTAAAATTTCTTCTTACTCAGAAAAAAGAATCAGAGGCGCATTAAGAGTTATCACTTGGCTAAGAGTGGCCTTTTTTCCTATAATTATCCATAATCACTATGATTATATAAAACCAAGAGACTCAAAGCTTTTTACTGAAAAGACTGAAACGCACACAGCTGTCCTCAGGCGGCACCAGAAGCCACCGCACAGGCCCGGGGAACCAACCCCGGCCCGCTGCCTCCACAGCCGGCCCCGTGCCTGAAACCGCCAATGACAGCCCACCAAGGCCAGACCGCGCAGAGTCAGGATGCGCTCAGGATGAGATGCCGCTGACTAGGGTCCACCCATCTCCCAGAAGACCCCTGGGGGTGTCCCTGGACGGCGGGCATGCGGTCACGCACCCCATGGGGGAACTGAGCGGCATAAAGGAACTCGGGAGATTTAACCCAGTGGAACTGGAGATAAGAACCCTCTCCCCCAGCCACTCCTGGCGGGGAGGGCAGAGGTTTCTGAACAAACACACCTTGGGTTCTGATACCAGAGCAGCCTCTGAAACGCTAACAATGACTTGTCCAGGCACAGGGGCCCACAGAACACGGTCCCCATAATCCACAGCAAGCCCTGCCCTGTGCACGCCTCGGACACAGGTGCTCAGGAAGGAGCCCGCCAGGCCAGTCCTGCCCTCCCCAGGGGGTTCACACCTGAGCCCCCCTTTCTACCTCCAGGGGGACCCAAAGGGCTGCCTCCACCTAGCGAATTCGATCCCCTTCACCTGAAATTCACTCTTCCAGGTAGGTGCTCTCAGGCCCCCAGGTTGAAGGCCCGTGATCTGTAGGGGGGGCCACCTGGGGGGCCCTCTCAGCAAAGGCAGCCCCCTCGGGAGGCCGGCCTCAGCACCCTCTAGCTGCTGAGCCAGGCCTGTCTCCTTCAGGATGCTGCTGCCCCCCGCGCGCCGGGAGCCCCCACCCTCACCCGCATCCCAGCGCCCGGGACTCGCGCCTGGCTCCCCGGACGCGACAGCGGCTCCCCCGATGCCTCACTGCAAAAAACAAAACCCGCAGATACGGCCCAGCGCCCGCCCAGCTCCGGCCGAGGCCAAGCCGGCCCGGGCAAGGGCCGTCCGCGCGCTGCGCCAACGAAGCCCGGGGCGCGGCGGCCGTGCCAACCCCGCGCAGGCCGCCGCGACCTCGGGCCCGGGCTCCGGCTCCCGCCGCTCGGCGGACCGAGCCCCCCGGGGCACACGCCGCGCCGCGCCGGGCAGGGCCGCTCCGGGCCCTCCTCGGGGCCCCCCCAGCCCCACGCGGTCACCCGAAGCCCCTCGCCGGCCAGCAGCCCGGGCCCTCCCGGGGCGCCCCCCGCCTCCCGGGGTCACCGGCGCCCCTCGCTGACCCGCCGGGCCCCCTTCGAGGGCACCCCGGCCCCTCGCTGACTAGCAGCCCGGAGCCTCCTTCGGGGCACCCCAAGTCCACGCGGACAGCGCCGCGCGGCCCTCCCGGGGGCTCCCGGGGCCTGCGGGGCACCCCAAGTCCCCACGGGCGCCCCGAAGCTCCGGGCAGCGCAGCCCGGCCCTCCCGAGGACCCGGGGCCGCACGGGCGCGCGCCCGTCCCCCCGGAGCGCCCCGCGCCGCCGCGGCCGCACCCGCCCGCCCCAGGCCGCAGAAGCCTCCTCCCGGCGGACGCGCAGCCTCGCCCCGGCCCGGCCCCAGCCTACCCGCCCTCGGTGGGCCCCGAGCAGGCCCGCGGCGCTGGCGTCTGCTCGGCCCGCGGCCCCATACACGCACCATCCGGGCCTCCGGCGCCTCACACACGTGTCACGGAGACATTTAAAGGCGCCGCGACCCCAGGCCCTCGCTGCCGGCCCCCGGAAGGCCTGGGCGGCTTTAAGAGGCGGGGCTAGCTTCGGCCCCCGCTCCCTGGACCCGCCCCAGCCGCTCGACGCACCCGCTACGTCACCTCCCCGCCCCTGGGTCCGGCCAGCTACGCGGTGACGCAAACACGCAGAGCGGGAGACGCTCCGCCCCCTGAGCCAGCGCCAGCGAATTCCCGCAGAGCACGTGGGGCGCCCGCTTCCGGGTCCGGCGGGGGGCGCGGAGCGGGTTGCGCGGGGCGGGGGCGCGGGGGCGCGGGGCGGGGGGCGCGGGGCGCGGGGCAGGGGGCGCGGGGTTCGGGGTGCGGGCCTGGCCTGGCCTCCCCTCCAGGGCCTTCGGTCGCCAGACGCCGGCGGGCAGAGGGCCCCGGGGGCAGGGGTGCGCGGGGGGCTGGCGTCGGACCCCTGCGGAGTGGGGGCCGCCCCCGCCCCCCGGACCCCGACCCGGTCCGCGGTGCCCGCGGACCACCCCGTGGGGAGGGAGGGCGCGGCCTCTGGGGCAGGCCCTCGACCTCCCCGGCCGGCCGCCCTCCTCCGTGCAGCCGGGGAGCGCGCGGCCGACCCCGTGTCCGGGGAGAGAGGCTGTCGTGGGAGCGCAGCCCACCTAGCGGTCATTACGGGGTCCGGGTGTTTGGGGGACAGACAACAGGCCGGGCAGCTCTGTAAGAATCTCAGCTCAGAGCTTTAGGTTACGAGGCGCCCCTGGCCAGAATCACTCTCGGCCCTAAAACAGTGATTCAGAGAATGTTCCTGCTGATCCGGGCCTGACGGGGGGTATCAATAACTGATTAAAAGTGGGAGACAACCTATGAAGCTGTCCGCAGCCGGGGAGCCACCCACACTGCCCGGCTGACCTCTTCTCTCTGGCCGGCTGCTCCCCTCAGCAGTGGACTTCAGTCAATCTGCCTGTTCTGCTCCCCGCTCTGTCTCTGGTGAATCCTCTCACCCCCCGCACCTCTGGCCTGCACCCCAGCTCTTGTATGCATAGATAAATCATTTTTAAAAAATGAAAGTGGGAGCAGGTGAGGAGGGAGCAATGGAGGCTCACGACTGGCTGGAGAGCCACGGGCTGGTGACCAGAGATGCATTTTATCCCAGATTTGCCCAAATTAACCCGTTGCTTCTGACATTTAACTAACTCAGATCACTGTGTCTTCTGATTGAAGAACGGCCTCCTGCGGATCTTTGCTGCTTCTAAGAACAGAACCCCGTATCTGCGCCCACTGCTGCTATGTGCTGGCAACCCCACAGAAAGATTCCCATTGACATAAGAAATGGAGCAGCCCAGGTCCCTATGGGCAGTGGATTCAGTGAGATCTGCCAGGCTCTTAAGTTTGGAGCCTTTAGCTCAGGGCCTCAGGGGTAACCCCCCTGAAATTATTAGGAGTTGACAAAGGCCTTGCCTGAAAGGTAGAGAATGTAACCTGAGACCTAGCGGGTGGGAGCCTTTGGCCAAATCCCACTCTTAGGGAAGCCTTGGGGGGGCGGGGTGTCTCCTCAGATGGGTTCACTTAGGCCAGTCAGTCTTTCCCAAGGTGCTCATCTCTGCTCAGGTCAGCAGAGAAAGGCAATTTAAAACCCCTATGGGCACCATCTCACACTCCCTAGAAGGCTAAGATTTTAAAACACGTTGGCGAGACTGCAGAGCAGGCCGACTCGGGAAGGCTTCTGGGAGAGTTAAGATGATGCAACCAGGGCCTCCCCAGTGGCGCAGCGGTTGAGCGCTGGGTTGCGAAGCTGCCCGCAGCCTCCGCAGAGCTGGTTCGATCCCCAGCTGCTCCCCGGCCACCGGAGGAGGGTCCCACATGGCGCGCAGACCTCTCCTGCCGCCCGCTGCTCCCCTCAGCAGTGTACTTCGGTCCTTCTGCCTGCTCTGCTCCCCGCTCTGGCTCTGGTGAATTCTCTCACCCTCCCGCGCTTCTGACTGTACCCAGTGCTTGTATAAATAAATAAATAAATCTTTAAAAAAAAAAAAAAAAAAAAAAAAAGATGATGCAACCATTTGGAAAACAATTGTTTCCTTCAACGCTGTTGCTACACCTGCCTGTTGTCGGCAAATTCCAGATGTGTGGCAAATTCCAGATGTGTGATGAAGGCCGCTCTCCCCAAGGTCCTTGCAATTCTGGATCCGGAAGTGCCTCCTGGGCATCTCCCTGAAGGTGGTGGAGTACCTCACGCTTGCCAGGCCCAGAAACAGGCGCGCCCCACCCTTCCCTAGGTGCCTGGCCTTTTCTGCCTCATGGCCCACTTGGGCTGGTGCTGGAGCATAGATCGGGTCCTGGCCCTGGTTTTCAGCCATTTCCCAGGTGGGTGGGCCACTAGGGGCATGAGTGGCCAGACCGGGGGCCAGGCCAGGGCCCCTCACTCCCTCTGCTTGGAGTTTCTGGAGGTAGCCTGAGCTGCTGAGATGGAAGTGGTTCCAACCCCACCCCACCCACCCCCATTTTAAAGGCTGTGCTCCTGGTTGAGCCCAGACTGGTACTAACAATAAGCCCAGCATCCATTCGCCTGGCTGGCACCTTGGGCTCCTCTGTAAACCGTCGATCAATAAACTCAAATTTTATTTCCCAAACACTCCTTAACACCATCCCTTCCCCTTCCAGTTACCCCTGTGAAGCCTCTTCCGTCATCACCTGTGTAATAGTCAAGTCCCTTCCTCAGACTGCCAAGCAGAGTGATGTTTCAAAGCACACCCGAGCACGTTGCACATCTGAAGCACTTCCCTGGCCTCAGAAGCTGGTGGGAACACCAAGGTCCTTGGCATGGCCTCCAATGGCTTCTGGATACTGCTCCTGTCTGCCTTTCCCCTTCATGCCCAGCCACTCCTACCCTGAATTCCAGAGCTAACCTGAGTGACCCCACCCTCCAGCACCACCCCAGTCAGGCTATCTGCTCCAGGCTCCAGCTGATATTTGGCTTAAAATTCCCTTTCCCATTTGCCCCTCAAGCCTTAGCTTGGACACCACCCTCTCCAAAAAGTCCTCCTGGATTCTTTCCGTTCCTGACTCGGGCTGTCCTGCACATCCCACTGACGTTCAATTGGAATGCTCTGTGGACTTCTCCCTCCAACCACCACGATTCTCAAGATCCAGCACCTCGACCTATTCATCTGTGTGCTCTGGCATGGTGCCTCGGAGGCGCTCTGTGGAGAAATGTAGGGGACACCCAACCCAATGGAAAGCAAAACACTCAGGGCATTTGACAACTGAATAAGCTCTAAACCCTAAAAGAGGGCCTCCCGGGTGGCGCAAGGGTTAAGATGCAACCTATGAAGCTGTCCGCAGCCACTGCAGCATGAGTTCCATTCCTGGCCAGCCAGGGAGCTACCCACATGGCGCAGCAGACCTCTCCTGACTCGCCTGCTGCTCCCCTCAGCAGTGTACTTCGGTCGATCTGCCTGTTCTGCTCCCCACTCTGTCTCTGGTGAATCCTCTTACCCCCCGCACCTCTGGCCTGTACCCCAGCTCTTGTATGCATAAATAAATAAATCTTTTAAAAAATCCTAAAAGAGAAAGCTAGAGAAACCCTGAAGATAAAAGAACAATATCTTCTAAATTTAAAAAAAAAAAAATCAATGAATCCCATTATAACTTAAGAAAAAAGGTGCATAACAGGTGAACAGTGCTGCTGCCCAGGAGGCCCCTGGGGGCTAGGGCGGCTCCCTGCCTCGGAGGTCAAGGGCCAATGCACTTGTCCCTTGCCCGGCCCCAAGCCTCGGAAGGCCAATGTCTGTGCCCCACTCTGGAGACCCGCGGTGCCTGTAGTCCCAGCTCCCTGTGAGTTCGCGGTCCTATGAGCTGCTTCTGCTGGGACTTTGACCACAACATTTTCCAATTTCTAGAAACTGCCAAGACTCAAGCCCTGGTCTGGTGGGACTTACCTACAACAGCCGAACGACGGGTCCCCAGAGCCGGTGCTGGACGTGGCCCACGTGGCGCTCACTTTTTTGTGGATGAAGTTGGTAGCCAACTGGCCTTGACTTGGCACTGGCCATGGTCACGTGCCTGCCTGTCTGTCCCCTCTTTATAAAGACCACCCCACATAGGTGCTGCGTGAGACAGCTGAGTGGTCAACAATCAATCGCATTCCCACCTGCTGACCCCAGAACGTTCACAGGCCTGGGGGCCGCCTGGGGGCCTCGCATGGCCTGCTCCCCTCCATCCCACCACCCCAGAATTCACATTTGTCTTGAGCTGTCTTCGCAAGGTCGCTGGCGTGGGCGGTCCCTCCCCAGGCCCGTGCTTTGTAACAGTTCCTCGAGCCAGGCCCTTCTGCCCAAAGGCGCTGTGTATCTGTTTGGCCTTGGGGACTAAATGACAGGAAGGAACTTTTCGAGAGTGTCCGAGACTGCCTTCAATTCCAGCACCATGTTGCTTTTGGACCCCGCCTGCCACTGTCCAGTGGCCAAGGAGAGTCTGGGCTGCCTGGGGGTGGTGGGGGGGGGCCAGCAGGAGCTGCCTGCAGTGGGCAGAAGGGCGTCTGGCCTCTCGTGGACTGTGTTAGCTATGACTGGAGTGGCGCAGGAGTTCCTTAGCTATCTGGGAGCAAGTCCCTGGGCTGGGGGTGGGTCGCCATTAGGACATGGCCAGGACCGGCCTGCAAAGCCTGGGAATCTGGATTTTGGGAGGGTCCTCCCTGTGCCCTCAGAGGATGGCTCCCTTCGATTACGCAGGGTGCTGTTTTCTTCCTGGGAGTCTGGAATCTTGCCCCATTCAGAGTGAGAGTGATGGTGCCCATTGGAGCCCCTGGGCTGGGCCTGGGGAGCTCACCTGGGTAGGATCTTCGGGGTCTGGATCTGGCGTGCAGGTGCCATTTGGTGATTGGGCTGCAAATAAATCTTGGCTTTTTAACTTTGTTCCCAGGGATGTTGGCAGCTGTACCCGCTGGCACCCACCCCCAAGTCCTGGGAACACCACCCTTTCTCTGATTTCCACCCTAACCTGACACCCGCACCTACAGACTCTGATTTGGATTTGTTTCCTGGCCTTGGAATATCCCTCCCAAGTGCTGCAGAGAGTGAGTGCACAGGTCATGTTTTGGGGTGTCCCTGACACCCCCACAGCTGAGCTGCTCCTTGAAGGAGAAAATCTGCTACTGGAGCTCAAGGATCCGTAGATTTCAGCCCTGAGGTGGGTCAGCTCAAACTTGACCCCGAGGCTAAAGCACCTGAACTTTAATGCAAATCATCATAATGAAATTGACCCCCTAAACTATCTGTAGAGCAAGCTGCCCTGTCCCTTAGGCAGCCCAGGCTGGGGGGGGGTGTAGGAGGACCCTCCCCTCCCATCCCCTCCCCTCCCCTCTCTTCCCCATCCCCCTCCCGACTCCACTCACGTCTTCCTTGGCCAGGAAGCCTGGCGGCCACTGGCTACCCACCTCCTCATGTCTTCCACCGAAGACTGAGGGGCGATGGTGGGTCTGGGGGGCCTCTGGCCCATGTCACTACCCCACCGGGGTCTTCAAGCTGCTTTAAAATTGTCAAGATGAAGGAAATTCGGATAATCATCGAAACCGGACCATGGATGTGTGGGGTTTGCTAGATTGTCCTCTGGGTTTTTGTGTCTGTAAATTTCCAGAATGAGTTGTTTTTAAGTCACTTTTCAAAAAAAGATTTAGGGCCTCCCCGGTGGCGCAGTGGCTTGAGCGCAGAGCTGTGAAGCTGTCCGCAGCCTCTGCAGCGCAGATTCGATTCCAGGCTGGCCAGGGAGATTCCCACATGGCGCAACAGATCTCTCCTGTCACGCCCGCTGCTCCTCTCAGCAGTGGATTTCAGTCAGTCTGCCTGTTCTGCTCCCCACTCTCTGTCTCTGGTGAATCCTCTCACCCCCCAACACCTCTGGCCTGTACCTCAGCTACTGTATAAATAATAATAAAAAAAATCTTTGAATGAATATTTATTTATCTATGCATAGAAGAACCAGGGTGTAGGCCAGAGGTGCGGGGGGTGAGAGGGGAGCAGAACAGGCGGATCCACTGAAAGATACTGTGAGGGGAGCAGCGGGGGGACAGGAGGAGTCTGCTGCGCCGTGTGGGTCACTCCCTGGCCAGGGATCAGCCATGATAGTGCTGAGACTTCAGCACTATCCAGGCCACAGCCATGATAGTGCTGAGACTTCACCCCTAGGCCACCAGGGAGGCCAGGCCCTTAAGTCACTTTTGACCTAAATAACATACATGAATAAGATGCCAGCCACGTCTGGCGTGTTGTTAGCTAATAGGGCCCCCGGGCCAGGACGGGCACGCCTGAGGTTGGGCCAGCAAGCCCCAGCTCGCGAGGGCGGACACAGCCACACGGAGAGGCGGTGTTCTCTTTGATAATATTGTTTATTGTCCGTGGACGGAACGATCACGCAAGAATGATACAAGCAGGGAGACATGCGCGGTCTGCTCGAGGCTTTCAGCAACGCTCGTGTGTTCCCCGCACAGGAAGCCTCAGACTTCACATTCCATCAAAAACACATTGCCCCGAAATAAAAAATTTAAAAAATCCAAAACAAACCCAACAAAATCAACAAAGCTTTAAATTATGGCGGCAGGTCCCATAATTCTTAATACTTATCAAGCAAAGATTTGAAAATAACTACAATGTAAACTTCCTTTTAAATAGTTTGAGTTGCTTGCATGAAGAATACAGAAGAGACAGCAGTGCTGGGTATAACACATAAATTAACGCCGAATGGGCGGAGCGGAGACGGCAGCTGGGGACGTGCTGGAGGGAATCCCTCGCCCGGCTGCCCCCGCGCTGGGTCTGGAGTTTTCTATTCTGTTCAGCCAGGAGACCCGTGTCGGGGCTGGATATAAAGACCATCTTTTAGAACCAACCGACTCAAAGATCCTTCACTTTGTCTTCATTCGAACCCGAGAACAACAGCTGCGGGACAAACGCAAGGACACCCGGAGGATGGGGGGTGCAGATGGGGAGTCCCACCGGCCTGCCGGGCACTGCCGGGCCCGCCTGCCCCTCGGGACCAGATGCTTCCACCAGGCAGACCCCTTCTGCGTTTCTTTCAACAAGCGCGAGTGTAACAGCCAGCAGGTGAGACACCGCACAGGAAGGATGACCACCGACGTCAGAACCCAACCAGAACACGAAGAAAACCGCAGCAACAGGAGTAAATGTCATACACGGTAACACCATGGGGGGCGGGGGCGGCGGCGCGGAGGGGTCTCGTATATACTGGGGTCACGCGGACTGGTCCGTTAGGAATCTTACAAACTGACAAAGGTCGCTGTACAGCATGAGCGCGCCCCGGGGGCGGGTTCCGAGTCTCCTCCTGGACTGTCCGAGAGGGGGGTCGTCGGTCTACGCTGACCGGTCCCGGAGGGCATGGGAGCCGCACGCCTCCGGGGGTCAGGGGGTCTCACAGTTGCTTTGGGGTCACCGCACAACAGAGCAGGCTTAGAGGAGGGTGCCTTTGAACGCGTGAGCAGGAGGACTGCCCAGGCCGGGGGACGTCGGCGCCTCGGGGTGCCCGTGGGGGGTGTTTGCACGATAAACCCACACAGTTTATCTTCACGACACGGGGGGAATAAGGGGATTCTTTTGAGTGTTTCTGGGAAATCCCTGCCTACCATCACCCCCATTTTACTGGCATCAGAAAACCCTCTGCAGGGACTCCGGAGGCCCCTAGTTCCCGATGAAGTTTCTTAACTGGGCCGTCTGGTAACAGGACACAAGCAGGGCCGGGGTCCCATGCGCTGAGAGCTCCCCTGGGGGAAGGCAGCCCGGGGCTCAGCTGGGGAAGCAGTGGGTCTTGTGGGAGCCTGTGCCCTGGGGCCACCGCCACTCTTGGGGGTGTCGGGCCTGCGAGATGTGCAAACAGCACAGCTGGCCCCACCCTGGCCACAGGGACCCCCAAGGCCAGACCGCTCAGCTCCATCCAGACACCCGGTGCCAGAACGCAAGGAGGAAGCGAGGGTGACTTCCAAGCTCAGGACTAGACTAAAGGGCGGTCCCCGGACTCCCACCCTGGGACTGGATGTCGTGCTCCCCACTGCGGCTGGGGGGGTGGGGGGGCTGCAGTGACATGAGGAAGCTTGTTGCTCCCATGTGGAGAGCCCCGGAGGGGGCTCCCCTGGAATTCTGCAGATTCATGGGGTTCACAGGGGCTCCTTCCACAACAAGCCCCTAGTCCGGGCCATTCCTGGACTCGCAGGAGTCCCAGGGGCTGGGGTCCCCAGGGGCGGGGGGACCCGCGGGGGCGGGGCACTGGCAAGGGCAGGGACGTGGAAGCGCAGGGACGGGGGACGCCCCTCCCGAGATGAACGGGACCTGGTAGGCCTGCTACGCAGTCTTGCCACGACCCTCGAGAGTGTCTGCGAAGTACGTTCCAGGCTCTGCCCTGAGCAGGCGGGGGGACCCCAAAGCGCCTGCTCAGTGCGACAGTGCCGAGCTGGGCTGGGGTGTCCTACCCCGGCGGCACCGGGGACTGGAGACGGCGATGCAGAGTGGCCAGGCTGGCGGATGGAGGGAGGGATGTGCACCCGGGTCCACCTCTCCCTCCAGACCCACGGCCGTGCTTGAAAGGAAAACGGGGCTGTGGGGGAGTCACACTGATTCAGACCCACTCGGATGACTGTTTTATTCATGCTGTTTCCAGGAAGGGATGTCAGAACTGGACCCGTCTAGACTCTCGAGGCTTTGCCGTCGGCCAGAGGGGCGCTGCCAGCCTGCTTAGGGGTCCTCGATGTCGAGAAACTCCTTCTTGGGGGGCGCCGCGCCGCGGTACCAGGCGCATGAGCCGTCGCTCCTCTTGATACAGGCGAAGAACTTGGCCTGACGCCCGTTAATGTTCTTCTCAGTGACCCAGTCCATCCACAGACACTCGTCGGGAGAGGCGATGTAGCAGGGGATCATGGGGCAGCGCGAGATCTGGGGGGACACGAGCCGTTCAGAGGTGCCTCCAGCACCCAGCCCGGGCCAGCCGTCAGGGCCGGTGAAAGCAGGGCCAAGCAAACGAGCAGGGGAGGGCGGGCAGGGCCGGAGGCGCCATGCTCTAGTGGCCCGACAGGGACAGGGCCTGGGGGCCTCTGCACCCCAGAGATTGTGCAACCCAGCTGCCATGGGTGAGCCTCTGCTTTGGGCACCTGGTCTGCCTTCGCTGAGCCTGACAAAGTGGCCTGAGCACCCCTGGGAGCAGCGGCAGCAACAACTCGGGGCCTCTGGCCTCGAGGGCGAAGGCCAGTGTCTGCTGGGAGCCTATGCGGCTGAGGCCTGACGAGCAGCGCTTGGCAAAGGCGCGGATGGGAAACACCTTCGTGGCCACACAGGGGAAGAGGACATTGCCCCTGATTTCACACTGGGCACATGGTGGTCTGCCTAACACCCTGCAGCCCTCCAGCCTAGGGGCGCATGTCGGGAGCCGGGGACAGCTGGTGATGGCCAGCACGGCCCTCCCAGTCGTGAGTGGGTGCCCGGAGCCGCCAGCCCACAGCCTCGCCAGCCCACAGCCTGGACCAGCACCTTCTGGACCAGCTCCCCTCCCGGGTTCCCCGGGGACACCCAGCAGTGTGTCCTGTGCTACCATGTGCCCCTCTGTGGGGCTGGGTGCCGGCATTCTCAACACGCAGACCCCATGTCTAGGAGGGCCCCCCGAGTGGGAATGGCTGGGACACTGGGGACGTCTGAAGCCCAGGACACTGTCTCGCCAGGTACGACCCCTTTGCGTTCATCTGTTTGTAGGAAAACCCTCACAGGACCACTTTTTCTCCATAAAACCCTGCCCTAGAAGGCTTCCCTCTGAGCAGGGTTCATGGCCAGACTCCCCTACTCTCGACAGCTCTCAGCTGGGGGTGCGTCTCAGTCCCTGCAGGGAGCAGGCCTCCCTGTGCAGAGGGCACCCCCGCTGCCCTGTCCTGACTCGGGACCCCGAGCCAGCCTGGCTCAAACCCTAGAGGTCTTCCTGGAGGCGGTGACAAGGCCCGGCCGGGAAGGAGGGCGTGTCTTACCTTGCACTCGCAGCCCATCTGGTACCTGTGGTTCAGGCTCTTCTTCTGGGTGGTGCTCAGGGAGTCCCAGGGCACGATGAAATCGCAGAGGGTGACGTGCATCTTGCCATTCCCCTCGGCCTTTCCTGAGGAGACAGGGACCGGGCTCAGGGTGCGTGCTGAGTTCTCCTCCCTTCGCCCCCCACAAACGTGGGAGGGGGGCTGAGGTGTAGCTGTGATAGTGCTGTGTCTCCCCACCCTCCATGCCTCGGGGCCACCCTTCAGCACCCCAGGACAGGAGCAGGCTGGCTCGGAGGCCCACAGATGTGAGTGTTTTCCTCTACCAGGGATTGGGGGGCCGGGGGCCCCATGGTGGGTCCGTGGTCATATCTTCTCCCTGTGGGAGGAGGGCAGGGCCAGGCTCCCTGTTCCTCAGGAGCCGCTCCGGTCAGTGAGCTGGTGCCCCGTCCACGCCCGCAACACAGAACCCAGACCTGGGCCGGGTGTGCCAGAAGCCACAGGACTTGCCGGCCCGTGAGCAACTCGAGGCCCGCAGCTACCTCCTCTGGGCTGGTGACTCGGGGTTACACGCGGAGCTGGCCCGTGGCATGCCCAGGAGCTCTCACAGGCCCGGCCGGGTCCGTCTCCTCTCCTGGCCTCTCCTCCAGGAGGAAAAGTGAACGGTCAACTCCAGGGCCCACTTGGGGCCTTTAGCTGTTTCATCATCAAGACCTCCCCAACCTCCCAAGCCCTAAGCTGCAAAGTCACTGGAGGTGTCACCTGCATGAAAACACATGGAATGTGAGCGAACTACCTATACCTACGCACAGGGCAGCGCTGTTTACAACTGCCCACCCGCTTATGGCGCCAGTCCCAGTGCCTTCAGCAGCTGAATGGAGAGAAGCTGTGGACATGTGCTCAGTGGAATATTACACAGCTGTGAAGAAGGACAAGCCAGTGGCGCTTGGGGCAAAACAGCTGCATCTTGAGGCAATTATGTTGAGTGAGATCAAACAGTGAGTGATTCCAGATGGGCTCGCTCACCCGCAGAGTAGAAACACCTGGGAAGCAGTGACATGCAGCTAATAGAAGAAATAAAAATTTGAACTCAGCACAAAAAGATAATGGTTATCAGAGGGGAGAGAAGAAGGGTGGAGGGGGCGGCAGGGGGTGTGGGCACAGGTGATTGGGTGGAGGGAATAAAAATAAATAAAAGAAAAAAATTTAAAATTTTTTTCTGCGTGTACGAGACGTTCAAACAATAATATCATGGAGGGTTTATGCATGTGTGTAGGGTAAGGAAAAAATGTCAGGCTTTTCTGCCCTCCCGCCATCAGGATAGATGATGGATCCTTGAGTCCTGAGTGCATGCCTGACGGCGGCACCTGGAGCAGGGGGTGGGCCCAGGCAGATGGGATTCACCTGGGCTGAGACTGGGCTTTTAAGGGCGGCGTCACGGGGACGCCAGCAGCAGCAGAAGCCAAAAGCAGAAGCCGATAGGGAAGCCAAGAGAAAAGCAAGAGAAGCAGAAGCAGAGAGAAGACCGGAGAGCCCAGATAGAGTGAAGACGTGCTGGGGGCTGGGAGGCCTGCCAGCCTCCTGGCCCCCCAGCGGCCCTGCCTGCCGTGTGCCTGGTGAACCCCAATAAAAGACCTGCAAAAAAACCACTGAGGACTCTGACTCCTCCTTTACCTGGTCTGCATGGGATCCCAGAAAACCTGCCCTGTGCCCGTTCCTAACCTCTACAATATGTTACGCTAAACGTTTTAAATCTGTACGCAAGGGACGCCCCAGCTTCGGGGAAGTGAGGAGGGGAGAGGGGGACGCATGCGGGAGGGGCGGGGAGTGAACATTTTACTAAAATCTCATCTCTGTGAGATCTTGAAGAAAAACGGGACGTGGTAGTAATCCGTGCCTCTCCGGTTGCATGTGGGCTCTGGTGGGTACGGGTCACGTTAACTCAGGTAGTTTCTGTGTGTTTGAAATAGGATTTAAAGTAGGAATCCAACAAATAAAAAGAGCAAAAACCAAGAGTCGCGGGGAGGGGGGGTGGCTATGAAACGCACGGGGAATGTGACTGAAACCCAACATGGGCTTGTGAAAGTGGCTCAGGCCTACACCCCGGCCCGGGCCCCGCTCCAGCGCCCGCCACCCCCCCAACCCTCTGCTGCAAATTCGGGCTCATGATGGAGATTGCGCCGGGGTGCGGGGAGGCGCGGGTTAAGCGGAATCTGCATGAGAAGCATCGGGAAAAGGGGGCGCCTCCTCTGGACGGGGGCGATGAAGCGTGTTGCAGAAGCCAGACTGAGGGCCCTTGGCCTGCCGGGAGCCCACCGCCACCCTGCCCGGCCGGCCCCTTCCCGAGCCCGGGCGCTGCAGGGTGGCCGGGCAGCCTCTAGAGGGCCGCGTGAGGAGGCCGCCCGGGAACTCGGGGAAGGGGGGGCCTCAGAGAACGAACAGCACAAAAGGGACCCAGAAAACTAGAAGCCGCTGGATTTTTAGGGTCCTACGTTCCCTGCACGAAGGCAGGTCTCCTCTCGGTTCTCTCCTCCCCAGATCTTGTTTTTCTGACCGCGCGCGCCACAGCCGCCGCCACTTGTAAAAGCTGCAACCGCCGGCCGGCCCGCCAGAGGGGCTGGGGGAGTGGGCAGTGTCCCCCACGGGCCTGGCCCCCCCCCACCCCGGCTGGCTCCCTGCCCCCCCCCCCCCGCGCCTCTGATGTCACTGCTCAGGGAGAGGTGCCCGCGGGGCTGGTGGCCCCGGCCCCTCTGCAGCCACCCTGACTTTGCTTCCTGCGAGACAGATCCCGGGGCCGCAGCTGGGGCCGCTGCTCCAGGCAAGAGTCTGGCGGGTCCTCGATCTAACCCAGAGCCCCACACGCCTCGCCATCCCAGGGTGAGGCATCCCCCTGAGAGAAATGAAACACCCACCTCCCCAAAAACGAGCGGCCGAGTGCTCAGAGCAGCCGCATTCCGCCAGCCGACACGGGCGACGGCTCTGGGGCCGACGAGACGCCAGGCGGCCCAGGCAGCGTGTCCGCGGAGTGCGGGCGCGGGCACCAGCGGGGCGAGCTGTCCCACAGGCTGGGTGGGGCGCAGGACCCCACGCTGGATCACCCCTCACTCGGGGACAGCGGGGGCGGGGGGACGAGGGGGCCGCGCGTGAGGGTCGCACACCGACTACCCCAAGGCCTTCGGCCCGGGTGCGGCCTGGGCCTCCGTAAAGCTCCTAATGGGGAGCAGATGCTCGCGGTGGACACGGAGGAGGTCCCGAGGCGCAGAGGGAGGAAACATCCCGCGTCCCCAGGGAGGGGGCGGGTCTTGATGCGGTGACCGCAGGGTGGGGAGGGAGGCACCCCCAGGAGAAGACAGTGTCCTCTGCCTCCCTCCCCCGCGCCCTCCTCCGCAGCCAAGGTCCGTGCCTCTCCGGCGCCAAACCTGCACGCTGGCGCCCCCGCGGGCTCCCCTCTGTGCCCTCAGCCCGCACTGCCGTGCCCGTGCCCACGCACGGGACTCGCCTTATCTTCTCTGCTTTCCGCTCGTGCTCCGCCCGTGGGAACCTGTGCCCACCCCCCACCCCGCGCTCCCCGCGCCGCCCCAGCAGTCCGATGAAGTGCGCCGGGCACTCTAGTCCCCGGCTGACTGGGCCACATCTCGGGGCTCATGGCCCCCCCACTGGAAACATGGGCCTGGGGGTGCTCCCGTCAGTGCTGGCGTTCATTAGCAGATGGGTCTCAACTCGGGCAGCTCTGCCAGACGGGGCTGGGCCCCGGGGGCCGTCTGAGGTGGCTGGAGACCCGCGGCGTGGGGGAGGCGTGACGGGGTCAGCGGGAGGAGGGCGGGGTGGCTCCATGCTCCACAGCGTGCGGGCAGCCCCCCACCTCGCCGCCCCGGTCACCCGTGCCGAGGCCCTGCTCCGTGGCGTGGTGGGTGAAGGAGCGGGTCACGTGAGAAATGAAGGCTCAGGACACATGGCGGTGGGGGGACGCGTCCCGCCCGGTGGTCACGCCGCACAGCTCGCGACGGGCCCAGGCCACTAGCCCGGCCGCCTGCGCAGGACGCGTCCTGAGGGCCCTTCGGGGGACTCGGTGGTCGGGTGCACTGAGCGGGGGCCGGGGCTGGGGCGGGTGGGGGATTGTTGGGGTGAAGGGCAGGGGGAGTTTCCCGGCGGGGACACGAGGGTGCTGTGGAGCGGGTGGCGGCGCCGGCCACGCAGCAGCGGGCGGCTGTGTCTCTGCGTCACTTAGAGACCAGTGCGAGCGGGTCCCCCAGGGAAGGGGAGGTTGGGGTTCCCTGCTCCACCAGGGAGGGGCGGAGCTGGGCAGGGAGGGGACGCTAGGGAAGGGGGGAGTGGGTGGGGGGAGCAGGGAGGCGCCTGGGGGGGCGTGGGGCGCAGAGACACGTGAGGAAGCCGCGCTGGCCGCTGGGCCTGGGACTCGCCGAGACGCTGGAAATAGACGTGGGCGGCGGGGGAGGCCGGCAACGGCGGCTTTACCTTGCCTTTGCTCTTTTCCCCCCAGACCTGCCTGCCCCCCTGCGCCTTTCCTGGGGGCCCCCCAGGAGGTGCCTTAGACGTGGGCAGCTCTCAGCGGCCCTGCTCGGGGCCAACCCCGTTGGGGCGTTACCCACGAGGGGTCGGGTGGCTTTGGGTGTTGAACTGGAAACTATTTAAACTACTTCCTTCTCGTTCTCCCCTCTCCACCGCACACTGACTGTGTCAAAGCCCAGAGTGTGTCTGTCTTGATGCTGCGGACGGCAGGACGGGGGGCAGGGCGCGCGCCCACCGTCACGGGGTCTGAGGGCGTGTGGACGGGGCCTGGTGGCTGTGCGTGCACCGGGTGCCGCAGGGGGACGGAAACCGCGGCAGGCGCTGCGCCAAGGAAGGAGCCCAGCACGGAGGGGTCGGTGACACGTGCCCCTCCGCGGAGAGAGGGAAAGAGACACACAGACAAAGGAGACCCCCGCCCCTCACCCAGCTAGAGCAGGTTCTAGAATCCGGCAGCAGCCTCCCTTTTAGGAAGGAAAGATACAAACTGGCCTCTGGGCCCCACCCGTGTCCGCCAGCCTCCTGCCAGCACCGGCCTCTGCTCCCCCTATCAGGCCACACTGGCCTGTTCCAAAGGGGGCGCCGCGGGCAGGAGGTGAATGGTCGGGGCGTTCTGGGGAGAGGGTGGGACACCCACGCTGTGTGGGAGCAGCCGGGCACCACCCCACCGCCGCGGCGGGGAGCGCGGCCCCAGGCTGCTGAGGACACGGGGGACCCCACACACCTGCAATGAGATATTCCTTCTTCCCGCCGGCGTCCAGCAAGACCCCGCAGACGGAGGAGGACGGCGCCGTGTAGATGAACTCGATGTCCTTGTCGGGCCCTTTGAACATCTGGAAAGACGGGATGGGAGCCGTGAGGGGGCGACGCGGCCAGAACACCCTTCCACGGCGCACCCCGGGTGGCCCAGCCGCCCCACAGGATGGCGGGCGAGTCGGGCCAGACACCCCCCGCAGGCGAGGCCTGGCGGGGAAGGAACGCCCCAGCACTGCCCTGGGGAGGGGCCTCATCCTTCGGGGGTCTCCCGGCCCCCGACGGGGACCAGCCCAGAGAGGCAGCCCCATGATGGATGGCGCCCGGGGCAAGGTGGTTTGGCCCCCAACTTCTGATCTCCTTAGGGGACGCGCTGCCGCCCGGGGCAGGCTGCACTATTCCAGCGGCCGGGCGAGAAGGGCAGAGCCACGGTCAGGGAGCCCCCACCGCCCAGACAGGGACAGGCGGGGCCCGGGGGCGGCCCTCTTCCTGGCCCGCGGGGCAGCCCCGGGCGCGTGTGGGCAGGGCCGTGGAAAGCCCACCCGCACTGCAGGACCTCAGCCGGGGCCCGAGGGGGCGCAGAGAAGACGCCCTTGGGCTTGCAGCTCCCCCCCAGCAGGACCCCACCCTGCACCCCCGCGGACGCCCCGCAGCGCTACCTTTATCTGCTTGATCTCGTACTGAGTGCGCTTGATGGGGTTGCCGTAGATGTCGTTGCCGGAGTCCACCTCCTTCCCGCTGACCACCTTGGCCCGAATCACTGCGAACACAGAACACAGGACGCAGCGTCCGCCAGGCTGTCCAGCTCCGGGCGTCTCCCCCAGGACCCCTGGCAGGGCTGGAGGCAGAGCCCCGCTCGCCCCAGAGGCGCCCTGATGGGACAGGCCTGAGGGCTAGGGGCGGGGGGGTCTGTGGCCCCCTGTGGGGAGGCTTCGAGTGGGCTCTGGGGTCGCGGGCAGCCCAGGGGTGCCCCCGCCTCCACCCACAGCCTCAGCCGAGGGGGTCCTGCCAATGGGCTCATTGTGAGGTTTGGGGAAAGGCCCGTCCCGCCAGCCTGCTCCTCTGTCCTGGAAGTTTCCCTGGAAAACGCCGCGGTGCTGCGTGGCAGCAACAGTCAGGGGCGCAGGAGGAGGGCTCAGGGCACCTAACAGGAAGGGCATCAATCGGGCTGAGAAAGCCGCGAGGCCCGAGGGCAGACCCCAGACAGGCCCGAGGAGGGAGGCCGAGCGGGAGGAGGTGCAGGCCCTTCAGGCGGGGAAGGGCAGGAGACGCGGTTGGAGAGGGAAGGTTCAGTGGGCCCTGGTGCACCTGTGACCCCAGGTGGCACCCGTGAGCCCCGATGCACCCGTGACGCTGGGCGGCTGGGACCCACAGCCCCGCCGATGGTCACCCGCCACAGCCCTCCCTTCCTCACTCAGGCTCGACGGCTGGTGCCGCATCTGGTTGAGCGGCTCTAGAGGCTCTGCCCTCCCAGACTGGGCTGCGCAGGGTCATCGCTCAGGACCGGTCAGGTTCCCGTGGACGTGAGCGAGGGACCGGCCGGGAACGGAGCGTGGGGGTGGGGGGTGGGGAGCGCCCCTCACCAGGGCGGGGCGTCTTCCCTCAGAGCAGCCTCCCCACCGCCGCCCCCTCGGGAGTTCGCCCTGCGGATCCCAGCCCGCACCCACGCCCCTGCCCCGCCCCCTCCCGGCCTTCTTGCTTAACACCCGGGCTGAGTCACAGCTGGCCGAGGCCGCGGGGTCCTGCTCCCTGGGCCCCAACCAGCGGAGCCGTGTGACGGGATCACCGCCCGGAGCAGAGGGCTTGCGGCCCTTGGGAGCAGGTCGGCCTGTGTCCGGTCCCTCCCTCATGTCCCCCACCCACGGCACCAGTGGTCTCGCCACAGTCATGTCCCTTCCAGCCCCCACACCTCCCTGGCCGCCCACGGCCCTGTCTAAAGTCAGAGCCCCTTTGCGACCTGCTGTCAGCCCCAGAATTGAAAACGCCGCCCCCATTCCTGTGTTCTGCCCATCCACAGTCCTCCCCTGAACCCCAACTGTCCATGGACTGGGGTGTCCATACCCCAAACAGGCGAGCTAGCTGCTTCTGCCCTGAAGGCCATTCCCCCTCACCTGCTGCTTGGAGGACTCCTACTCGTCCTTCCAAACCCTGCAAGAACAGCCCGTTCCCATCTTCCTCCAGGAAACCCTGTCCTCTGCAGCACTCGGCACATCCTGCGTCTCTCGTGCTTCCTGCCGGGTGCACCCGTCTGCCCAGGCGCACGTCCACGCTGCTGGGTGTGCCTGGCAGCTCCTCCCGGGTGAGGGTGGACACTCACCACAGACCGCGGGTGCTCGCTGGGGCCCAGGTGAGTGTTGCCCTCAGTCCCTCATGCTTCCTGCCTCCCTATACCTCGCCGCAACGCTGACAAAGGGTGTGTGTGACTCAGGCGGGCTCCAGACCCCCGTGGAGAGCGAGCTCTTCCGCAGCACCCCACCAGCGCACGACCCAAACAGGCCAGGAACACCCCAGGAGACGAGGCTTCTGGAAGGAGCGGAGGTTACAGGCTGTGCAGGGCACACCCCATTCTCATGCCCCTTGGAGACCTGGAACCGCCTGGCAGCTCCCCACTACCCTGCTCTCTGCCCCGCACTCAGCAGGCACTCAGCAGCCACGGGAGCCCCGCCAGCGCAGGGGCTGCCCTCTCCGCCCCGTGAGGTCGGGGGCTCTGCTGGCCTGGCTCAGACCAGTGCCCACGCCGGGCACCCAGCCGGCGGCCGAGTCTGCTTCCAGGCAGCTCCCCGAAGTGTCTGCTGCCCTTTGGGGCTACAGACCACACTCCCCTTCCCCAAACTGTCCAAAGTGGACAGACTGGCTGATCAGGGCCTGGGGGGCGTGCGGGTGAGGGCTCCAAGGCTGCCAGGCAGGGCAGTGGGGGCGGGGGCGGGAGGGCCTCTGACATGTCCGTCCGTCCTTGTAGGACAAGCATGGACTCTTCAGGGTTCTCTGGATTCTGGCGGGAACCACTTCCCCACTGGGCGGAGGAGAGACTGTGGAAGAGAAGGTGAGACTTGGTGGAGAAAGGAGGAGCCATTTGGGAGCAAATAGCCCCCAGGCAGCCCCTCCAGACGCAGAGAGGGGTGCACCAGAGGCCAGGTGCCTCCTGGCTCGCTCTGGGCAGCAGGTGCCCGGCTGGGGCTGCACTGGGTGGGGGGGTGGACGGGGCCACCCCCGTCCACCAACCTTTGGCAAACAAACCGATGCTGCCCCAGGGCAGCAGGCCCCGTGGGAGGCTGGGGGCATCACGTGGACCACAGCCCTAGGGTGGACGTCCTGACCCCAAGACTTCCGCCGACCGCATGAAGGGGGTGGGTGGGGGTGTCCAAGTCAGACTCAGACTTTGGGGTTGGGCTGCCCCCACCCCCATGCAAGGAGACTACAGTGGAGGAGGGGACAAGGTGGGCAGGCCCTGCTCAGAAAAGGCTTCAGCAATAGGCTGGATCCTCAAGGCGCAGCCAATCCCGACAAGCAGACAGACACCAGAGACAGGAAAGGGGGCGGAGACTCATCCCGCCGCCCCCCCAAAACAAGGGTCATGGTCACGAGCTCCAGAACACCCCACCCGGTGGCAGAAGGGGGTGGCGTGGGGCAGGGAGGGGCAAGGGCAGAGACAGCAAGACTGGGGAGAGATGAAGACAGAGGCGCCGGCCGCCTCCTGAGCACCTGCGTGTGCCGGGGTCAGGCCCTGGCCGGGCCGCGCCGCAGCTGCTCTGCCCTCGCCTGCCCCTGGCCCGGGGGACCCGCGGCGGCAGCAGGAAGGAGACACTGAGGCGCTTGCTTTGGTTTGCACCCCAGAATGAGGCCTCTGCCCACACCACTCGGGCTCTGTTTTTTTCTTTCCCTTCTGCCATTAGCACAGCATCTGGGTTTGAGATCACGGGACAGGCCGGTGGGTGAGTTCACCACCAGATGTTGGCTACTGGATGCACAGGCCTGGGCTCGACTCAAAGCACAGGCCACCGCAGACGCCTTGGCCTCGGCGCGGACACCACATGAGGTCACCTCCCCTGGAAGAGCCCGCAACCGCCATCCCTGGCGTGGCCGGTCATCTGGGATGGGAAAGAATGGGGCGGGCGGCAAGGCCAGGCCGAGGACGCGACCACGGAACTCGGGCGTCTTCAGACTGCGAGGCGAGGCTGCTGTCCCGTGCTGGGCCAGGGGCGGGGGTCCGGCAGGACACCAGGGAGTCACAGCATAGGCCGTGGCTACCAGCCGGGCTGAGGTCAAGTCACCTGCCCACACCCCGGCAGCATCCGCTGGGCCCCGTGTCCCTGGGAGCGCCCGTGGATGAGGACCAGCCGTGCGTGTCCACGGGGGAGTGGCCCCAGGGAGCTCACGCACAGGCCGAGTTATCTTCATTATCTCCCCGGCGCAGGGCTCTCTGGAGGAATCTGGGGCGCACGCATGTATCTTCCACTCTCCCCAGGGGCCAATGCTGGGGGGCACCGGCTCCCCGCTCCAGAGCACAGAAACCTGAGGCTGTCTGAACTCGAGACATCCATGTGCTTGTCTCACTGCGCCACACGAATCCCCGGGCCCCGGCCTGCTGGGCCGAGCTGCTCACTTAGGAAGAAGCACGTTTGCCAGGAAGAGGAGCAGGATCTTGGGGATTTGGAAACAAATGTAAATACAGGGGAGAACCTGCATGCGCCCCAGATCACCTGAGCCTTCGTGTGCAGGACTCGGGCGGGAGGACAGCGCCAGCACGGCCCCCTCCCCTCCCTGCCGCTGCCAGCTGCAGCCTCCAGCCTGGACTGGGAGGGCACCCCGCACCGCAGGGACACCCTGTGGAAAAGCGGGGTGTCTCCTCCGACAAGGCGGAAACGCTGTCGGACCCCTGGGAGGGAGTGGGCGTGTCCTCGGCTGGCCCCGTTGAGAGTGGATGGGCCCCAGATCCTGCCGGGTCAGGGGTGGTCAGGCCCAGAGCCCAGGGCACTGGGGGTCACAGGGGTGGCAGAGGAGGACCCGAATCTCCTGGATACACATGCAGCAGCCACCCCCAGCTGCGAAGTCGGCCCAGGCCACTCAGCCCAGTGCTGGTCTCTGGCAGAACCACCTGCCAGCACTTAGGGGAATTCAGAAAGCAACGGTTTTCTCCCAGACAGACCCAGGGCCCCTTTCCGGCCGGGCAAGGAGGGGTGCTCTGCTCCGCGGGGGTGTTTGGGAGGGATGTAGGGCCCCCGTCTTTTGTTCTCCCTCACAGAGGAGTCGCCACAGAGCTGCCAGCCCTGGCGCACCTGCTGCTGGGACAGGTCTCCGGTTCCTCCCGTGGGAACCAGGGACACACGTGGCTGGTCCCCTGGCCCTGGGCCTCTGATGAACTTGTCCAAGCCCCGGGGAGGGTGGAGGCGGGTGCTCCCACCAGCCCTCAGGGCAGAGCTGGGCCAGGGAGGGGGGCCCTTCCTGCATCCAGACCCGACACGCACCCAGACACACGCAGCTCAGCTCTGCCAACAGGAACTGCAGTGAATGATGTCTCAGGGTCTGGCCCCAACTTCTATGGGGTTCCCAATTGCTTGAGTGTAACTAGTGGGCTCTGGGGGTGTCACAGTAAAGACGGTCTTTGAACCTCCCCAGCATTCTGCTGCTTTGGCAGGGCGAGCAGCCTCACTGGCCAGCAGGGCAGGGGCCGAGTGGACAGAGATTTAGAAAGGGGTCCTGCTCGCAGGGACGGCAGGCGGCTCTGATGCCCGGGTCCCGAGGCCACAGCCCTCCCCACAG